TTAACATGAATTTTCTATTAAAGTAATTAAATGTGCCTCCCCCCTCCCTGCTTACCTGTGTCCAGGGAGGGGGGAGATTCCATCTGTGGTGGTCCGGTTGGGGGTCCCCCCGGCTCCCTGTTACCGCAGAGGGGGCCCAGGCAGCACACTGCTTCTCCTCCTCTCTTCTCTCTTCTAATAACTCTCGCGAGACCCGGTTACCATGGCAACGCTCCGTGGGTCTCGCAAGAGTTATTAGAAGAGAGGAGAGAGCAGAGAGGAGGAGAAGCTGTGTGCTGCCTGTCCCCCCTCTGCGGTAACAGGTTGCCGGGGGCCCGTGGCTGCACACATAGATAGCGATATTCGCTATCTATGTGTGCAGAAAGGGAAAGTGGGGCCCGGGACTGCCAGAGCAGTCTGGGCCCCCCAGGGCCGCCGGGCCCGTGACAACAGTCACGGTTGTCACCCCCTGATGGCGGCCCTGGCTGCAACAATCAGTTTGCATAACCAAAGAAATTCTGCACAAACTTTCAGAAACCGTCTCAGGGAAGCTCATCTGCATGCTCATTGTCGTCATCGTGATCTCGACCTGACTGCAGTTCGTCGTCGTAACCGACATGGTTACTTGGGTACTTTAGAGAGGTGTTCTCTTCACAGATGTATCCCAGTTTTCACTGTACATGGCAGATGGCAGACAGCAGGTATGGCATTGTGTGGGTAAGCCAGGGCCAGATTAAGAGCCTAGCGGGCCCGGTGCTGACAATTATGAGGGGCCTAAGTACAGAATCCTATCGACTGAAAACACTAAAACAGTCATACCTCTCAAGCGTTATGTATCTGGTGGAGATGTTGCCAGAGGAAAACTGGCATGAATGCATGTCAGGCTGCCTGCCAATCATGCATGCTGGCCAACAGCATCCTGAGCTTGGCATAAATGCATCTAATGATGCGCTCGCTCCATGCTTTCTAAGGATTGTCCCCTAGCACTCACATGTCCACTTGTCTCCTTACCTTCTTATTAGCAGGCAGAAGCTCCTGGTATACAGTCTGAGACAGAGAAAAGGTGGATGTAGTGAGTGTAGAGGAAAGGGAACATGCCACAGTGTTAGAGAGACCAAAGTCAGCATTACCTTAACTAATTTCATTGTCAGCCAGTCCACAGAAGTTTTGTTTCCATATATCCCTCTTAAGTTTCGATACTTAAGAAAGAGTATGTGAAGAGTAGTTAGGGTTGCCACCTTTCTTGGAAAAAAATACAGACCTTACTAATTTGCATAACTAATTATGTATGCATGACATCACATGATGTAAATCACAAGGAGTGACAAAAGAGAAAAGTCTGTAAAATCACTAAAAAACTACTTACAGTTTGATTCTGCTGTATAGATGGATTGCTCCCAGTGTCTTCCTGTCTCCCAGGTCTCCCACTGTCCCAATGTCTCTGTGTCCCCATGTCTTCCAGTGTCCCCTAGTGTCTGTGTCCTCATGTCTCCGAGTGTCCCCATGTCACCATGAACTGATCTGGGTGATTGTTGGATGTGTTGGTCCCCCAGATCGGGGCTATCAAGGGATATGACTTTTGTGGGGTTTCCATGTGTTTTAGGGGTACTTTTGGGGTGTTGCTGAATTGCATGTTTTTCTGTGCTTGGAGATAATTGGATTATATTAGTACAGTTCCTGATCCAATTATCACCCAGGCACAGAGTAGGGATTATCTTATTATGTATGGGAGTGTCCTGGATCTAAGAGCCAATGTAATTGTGTATTTATTCCTACTGTGGTTTACTGTCAGGTCCAGGGGGGAGTGCCCCTTGCATGGGGACCTGCATATAAGGCCACATGTGGCTACCATTAAACGAGTTCCTGCTTACCCTCAACATTGAGTCCCATCTCATGTTTATAGTGAACCGCTATACCAGCTATAATCACCAGCTCTTGTAAGAGCTACACTGCTATACCTGCTATACTCGCTTGGAGGAGATGCCTCAGACAAGCTGCTGCGGCTGAGGGCTATGGTGCTTATGGTGTCTGGTTTGGTGCTTATGGTTTTTCGGCAACAGCTAGGAAGCAGAGATTGGTGTAGGCACCCAGTCGGGGTGCCAGGCAGTCCACCACAGCCAGCATACTCACCGGACATGTCACCCATTGAGCATGTTTAGGGTGCTCTGGATCGGCGTATACAATAGCGTGTTCCAGGTCCTGCAACTTCGCACAGCCACTGAAGAGGAGTGGATCAACATTCCACAGGCCACAATCAACAACCTGATCAACTCTATGCAAAGGAGATGTGTTGCATTGCGTGAGGCAAATGGTAGTCACACCAGATACTGACTGGTTTTCGGACCCCCCGGAAACTCCCCAATACAGTAAAACTGCACATTTTAGAGTGGCCTTTTATTGTGGCCAGCCTAAGGCACACCTGTGCAATAATCATGCTGTCTAATCAGCATCTTGATATGGCACACCTGTGAGGGGAATGGATTATTTCGGCAAAGGAAACGTTCTCACTAACACAGATTTAGACAGATTTGTGAACAATATTTGACAGAAATAGGCCTTTTGTGTACATAGAAAAAGTCTTAGATCTTTGAGTTCAGCTCATGAAAAATGGGGGGAAAAACAAAAGTGTTACGTTTATAATTTTGTTCAGTGTATGAACACACACATATATACACATTTTAAAACTGATCCCCTACTTTTGTCCTTGGCCCCTCATGTGCCCCCCAAATATGAATCCTGGAGACGCCACTGGTTGTGCATGATAACACCAAACACGAAGACCTTCAAAAATTGAAGATCTTAAAGAGGAAACAGCTTAAGTGTCTATCTAAAGCTACTAGAGGTGGGTTTTTCAGTCAAACGTACACATTACTTCTTAGAAATGGCAATGTTTTACATTGCCTAAAAAAGGGACAGGGTAATTGGACCAAAACTACTACATTAATATGTAGTGGTTTGGGTGCTCATATTGCCTTTTTTAAGGAAAATATAACAAATACATTTACTAAAACTAGTCAGACTAAATAAGAACAGTGAGAAAGAATGAGTTTAACAATAGTAGGTAAATAATCTGTTAGTAGATATTCATATTGCTTAGAAAAGATAAGCATATATTTGATTGTGAATCTGGATTAAAAAGATAATAGGGGGGGCGGGGCCTAGCCGCTGAACAGAGAGGATGCAGAACAGCATGGCTCCTGCTTTTCAAGGCACAAATCGCTACATACAGGCCACAAATGGCCCACAAACGACCCAAAATGGTCACCAATCGAGAGGTGAACTAGCAGGGCTCATAATGACACCAAACATGATGCCATCCGTGCAAAAATCATTGGAGAGACAACTGCGGCCTGCAAACCAGCATGGCACTGGGGAGACGGCCGCTCCCCGGTTGCTCTCAAAGGCAAAAGGCTGGCGATTGGACCTCAGTCCCCCCCCCTATGGACCGGCGGGGGTCATCCCGGTCTCTGTCAGATCCCAACAGCCCCGCGGGAAGCACACAGAAGCAGCGCTTACCGAACCCGAAATGGCGACAAACATTGGCCTGAAAGCACAGTGGCCCGACATCCTCATGCGGCTGGAGGCCACATTCGCAGCCTTCTGGACAAAATTGGCAGAGCGGCAGGCTGGGGCACACACTCTGGAAGAGTACCTACCGACGGCACCCTCCTCACGCCCTCGGCACGAGGCACACCGCGCAGACAGAAGAGAGTACAAAAATGGCGCCTCCGAAAGCGAAACCCACAGCAAGGGCGCAGACCCACGCGTCCCCAGCCACAGACCGCCACTTCCTCAAGCACCAACAAGGCGTCCACACTCAAACACTCCACCAAGCTTCGGCCCAACAAGAGACCCACAGACCCGACCAGCAGTTCCAGAGGAGGCGGCCCAGAGCAATACACCCTCTTGCATGCCGAGGGCTGGAAGTACCCCTCGCCCTGTTGCGCTGCAGTCGAAACAAGCGGCCTACGGCACCCACCTGCTACCACCCTCCCATCCCTGGGCATCGGTTGAACTGTGTATACAGAGCGGCGCGGTCCATGCGGAATGACCTTCCCGTGATGGCTGAATGAGATGGAGGCAATGTCTCACTACCTTTGGGCACCTGATGAGTGGACACTGAACTTTGCGGCAGCCTGGCTGATCTTGTCAGGTCCCTGCAGGGCATAATGCACGATAAGTTTCTGTTAAAATAGGTTTTATTTTCCTTTTCTTTTAAGCCATTATAGATCATCGACCGGTTGCTATGCCCTACAATGATGCCTGGCTATTGTTTATGTGCTGACACACACTAACTCGATAATAATAAAATATCTAACAAGCAATAGGACAGAAAATAGACCTAACAATCTAAGCATGAACAAAACTGTATTTCTGATATCAGAGTAACACTACTAGACTAAGCCTGTTTCCCTTAAGTTTAATAATTGTTTAAGTCAAATAATTGCTAAAGTGTGCCAGGCATAGAACAACAACCACCTGTTAATAAGCATAACTTTTAACAACTCGCATACTTTTAACAATGATCGCATGTATTAGTACGCATACCTACTTATAAAAAATGTGCAGCTTAAACCTGTCATGACAATGTTTACATTGATATACCTGTGACTGCTGTCGTGGCATAACAGGCATGGTTGTAACCCATAATGCACAACAAAAATAAAGAATAAAAAAAAAAATAAGTTACAAAAAAAAAAAAAGATAATATATTTTATTGTTCAAATTAGTATGACATACTTGTGCAATACACAATATGGTTTTCCTTTATATGGCGCACAAGAGAGAAATTGATGTGGAAAAAGCTAAAGATTAGAGGCATTAATTAGCACATTGATCCAGAATAGCATCTGTTTTACCTTGATACATATGACCTTAAAGGACACTACGAGCACCAGTACAACTGTAATGTGTTTGACCTTGTTTATATGCTGTATTTATGTTATTTTTTTGCATGCTGAAATCTTTTAATTTTTTTTACAAAAAATAAATGTTCTGCAGAATTCTTCACCATAAGCCTGCCTTCATAGCCACGACTCCCAAATCCAGAAAAATACTTCCTTATTAAATGTATGTACGCAGTACCCACTGACAGCACTGACTGATCTGAACTACAAAGCAACCTGCATTAAAAGGAGAGTACACCCAGGTAGACAAATAGTATGGATATCACAACCTTTGTAGCCAAAGAAAGTTGGTGCTGTGAACCTATAGCCTGTATTCCCCTGCATATTACTTGCCCAGGGTATAATTACCCCTCAGCCCCTTGTCAGTCTCCCTTGCTGCCAGGGAAACTGGCATTGACATGGATAACCAACATAGTCTTAAATTAGAGGGGCAGAGGTTTAAAAATATCAGGAAGTATTACTTTAATGAGAGGGTAGTGGATGCATGGAATAGCCTTCCAGCTGAAGTGGTAGAGGTTAACACAGTAAAGGAGTTTAAGCATGCGTGGGATAGGCATAAGGCTATCCTAACTATACGATAAGGCCAGGGACTAATAAAAGTATTTAGAAAATTGGGCAGACTAGATGTGCCGAATGGTTCTTATCTGCCGTCACATTCTATGTTTCTATGTTTCTATTTATCGGTTAAACTCCAAGAGTTTTCTCTTGTTTTCAAAAATAAATAGAGATGTGAACATATGCCACACATCTACACAAATGATTGCTCAGAAGTAGCATCCCTCACCCATCAACAAGCACGGTACTGTCTGTTCCTTTCAACAAATATCTTATGCAGTAAACTATCTGTAGCACATGACCTCAGGCATAGTCCAGCAGTTAAATTTTCTTCATTAAAGGGACAGTTCCAGAGAATAGCCCAATTTTTCAAAGTCCATCTCTCCGGTGCTTTAACTTTAACTCCTTAAGGACACATGACATGTGTGACATGTCATGATTCCCTTTTATTCCAGAAGTTTGGTCCTTAAGGGATTAATGCAGTTTTTTGCCATTTGTTGGCAAAGAACCTGTGACTCACCTAAGTGTCTGCCTTTTTTGTGCATCTCTCAAATAATTATATAATTGTACAAATTAGGAGTATTTGGAGTATACTGAGACTGTTGTACCCATTTGTGTTGGTCTGTCTATTGTACTGCATAACTATATCACATATCAAGCCAACTAACTTCACATTAACCCGTTAAGGACCAAACTTCTGGAATAAAAGGGAATCATGACATGTCACACATGGCATGTGTCCTTAAGGGGTTAAGACTTATATGTTCCAGGATCAACTGTTATTCTGGGGTCAAGAATGATTTTTTTCCTAGTTTTTTGCAAATTAAAAATGTTTCAAACTGTGTTTTTTGTCTTCTTTTGGATAAACAGCAAAAACAAATGTGAGAAATGCTGAACTTGATGGACACATATCTCTTTTCAGCTATGTAACTATGTAACCTCCTATGTATTAGCACAAAGTCTCATAATCTGACCAGTGGATCTAATTTTATATGTAGTAATAAAAAGTATCCACAAGAGGGCAGAGGCTGTTCATGTTTTTATTTATTTTCCACAATAACATTTGTATTCCACTCTATTACCCTGTGTGTGCACCATTTCAAAGCAGCCGTATCTAACACATTACAAATGTATGCATTTCTTACATTTCTGCAGACTGTAATGTGACTAGCAATCATGTCTTTTATTAGCGGAAAATAACTTAATTTTCTTTCCAGAAGAATAAATATTGGACGTAAAATATCAGAAGTTATATATAACAGCACAAACTAAAACTGGCTGTTTTTTAAATCCCATACATTTTCCATTCATTCTGCATTTAAATGAAATGACAAAAAAAACAAAACAAAACAAAAACCATGAATAATTTTAGACAAAATACCCTCAGACTAAATGCTTCTAGTTCATTTAACAGAAAATTGTTTATTAAACATTAACCGAAATAGTAGTGAGCTACAGACTAAGGACATATTTCAGAAAAATATATAATATATATTTTAATTAGCCTTATACAATCCATTATAACCTTAGTAATCTATTTATACTAAACTATTTTACTGCTATAACACAAACCCTAATATAAATACCACTTTTTATTTCTATATTAGTTCATTTCAATTTGGTGTTTATTTATTTATTTTGATGTTTTTATCTAAAGTTCAGAATGCTGATACATTCACCATGAGGACTATCATTTTATGTCTCCTGGTAATTTCGAGTCGTAATACTATTTTAGTAAGCATTAAAACCTTAACCCAGGCTTCCTCAAACTCTGGCCCTCCAGATGTTGCTGAACTACAACTCCCGTGATTCTATGAATGAAAGAGATAGGCTGAGAATCATGGGAGTTGAAGTTCAGAAACATCTGGAGGGTCGGAGTTTGGGGAAGCCTGTCTTAACCTATCACTAACTCAAGCCCTCAACTGAAATCTTAAATTTCAGAGATGAATTAAATCGTAATGGGGTCTTATGTGGGTACTGGTATATGACCCCTCCATGTTACAAACCCTCAGACACAAACAAAGATCTAAACACTTATCCTGTATAGACTGATCTGTGTGGAATGCATACAAAGATAATTCACTAAACAGGAAATTAAGGTGAACTGATAGCAGAATTGGATTTATTTTAATGAAAATTAGGTGTATAGGACATACTTTCAGGTACTATTCTGGCCCATATTGTGCTATTTGCTTATTTCACTGTTCAGTAATGAGTAAATCCCTAATCCTATACTATGATCTATATACTAATCACATACATTACTCTGTTCATTCATAGATCCTTAATTCCTTGTGTCTGCTTCCCCAGAAAGATTGTCAAAATCAATAATACATTGAAAATGAAATGTTACACACACAGACACATACAGGCATACCCCGCTTTACATACACTCACTTCTAATACACTCGCGAGAACAGACATTCCCGTGCCTCTTCTGTCCATGAGTGAACAGTAAATGGAAGGTTCTATTCTCGCCCGGAGCAGCTCAGTTTAGTGTCTTTGGGGCAAGAACTTTTCGCACCTTCTGACATGGCACAGGTTAATAATCTCAAATGTATAATGCCTACTCCTAGCTGAACATATATATATATATATTTTTTTTTTCTGCCCCTACATTGTCCATATTCTGCAATCGGCTGCCATCCAGTGAAAGGGTTTACCCTGCCAGTTTCTATAACTATGACTTACCAGCTTAGCTGCATTAGCCACAACTCTGAGGATTCAAAGTTAAACCATATATGCTTAAAGTGATGAAGAGGTGTTTCTAAACAAAGTGTGCAACTAAGCTGCTAACAAATACAAATTGGCACTGTATTGACAGAAAATGGCCCAGTGGGCAGGTTTATTTTACTTTTCCTCTCAGTTTAAGGTTGTCAGATGAGTAAAATATTAAAGATAAATGGTGCAATCTGGAATGAGATTTTTCTTTTTACTGTTTGTTTTAACTGAATAAAAGCTCACTGGAAATCGCTAAATAAATCACTGGGATTAAATTCACTGCAGTTGCAAAGATCGTAGAACCAGAAGAGCATTTCAAGCTAAAGATCATCTGCCAATTGAGAGTCATTAGCATTATTTCCCCCTCTTTAGGAGAAGGTGTTAATAACTTTCCAGATGTAATTCCACCTGCTTCTGCTTCTGCAAGAAAGCCTTATTTAATTGTTCACAGACCCTACAGATATTTGAGTATACACAAATTGAAGTTGGAATTGTTACGGTCCATTGGGAAGTGGCTTTTCCAGGACAATGGAGGATGTTTATGGTCGTTGCCACACATAGCATCTGGCTTTAAGATTTGTCTTGGAAGTAGACCATCTTCATTTCACCTGTCTTATATGTCTCAGTTTTGCTCCATGGTTCTTCTGCAAAGTTCTGGTGGGCTTTTAGCAGAATTATGGAAATTTCGGATGACATCATTATCCTTGCAGACAGCAAGAGCTCTCTATTAACTATGGACTACTTTATATTTGGTCCTTCTTCTTCATGGTCGAAAGAGTTATACTTCTTTAGTCATTTTGTGCTCTCCTCCAAGTCCATGTCAAATATAGGAACACTTTTCAGCACTGAACATGGTACAGTTAGACTTTCTCAGTACCGAAGGAAAAAACATTTTTAAGGGCAGAGAGTGTTGATTGTATGATTTATTTTTGCACTGAGAAAGATTAATTGGTCTGTTTTCTTTATAAATGCCAGCCATAGGGGTTAGGGATCATTTCTTCAGATCTACTGTGCACAAGTAATATGTATTTTTCTTGCTAAATCTCAGTTCAATTACCTAGATCTACTAACCGTCTTGAAAGCCCTGAAGCATTCTCAGCATAAACTTTTTACTCTGGGTGAAGATATGTGTGATCCATGCTGCAGTTTTTTTTGTATTCTATGATCTACGGCAGGCTTCCTCAAACTCTGGCCCTCCAGATGTTGCTGAACTACAACTCCCATGATTCTATAAATGAAATAGGCTGAGAATAATGGGACCTGTAGTTCAGCAACATCTGGAGGAGTTTAGGGAAGCCTGATCTAGGGGATATTTGGATTCACAATATGATGAGAATCATGAAACCTCTGATGTCAGATGAAGCCTTCCAGTAGACAGTGGTAAATAGGACATCCCTCAAGTGGATCTATGGCAACTCACAGCAACAAGTATCTCAACAAGTTTTTCTCAGGAATTTTGACAATCAGGCTTTTAGTGCAGACATGCACTTTCATCCCTATGATGATTCATCCTTGACTATGCATTTCCACCTTTCTTCTCCTGTTTTCTCTCTTGGAATCCCGAATAAATGTGCCCGTCATCCTAAAATCCCATACTGGCCTCACGGACCATGGGTTCCCCTTCTAATAAATCTAGGTATGGAATTAAATAGGATCTCCAGTAATTTCAGCAAGAACCAGTTGTTTTTCCAGACCTGCTTTCTACCATCTTTGCTTAGTTTTGCCTCAAGGTGGTTTTCCATTTTTCAAAAACTTGTGTTTTTTCTAATGAAGAAAGCAAAGTAATTGGATGTTCTAATTTTGCCTTGGTGATATGTTTTGGTTCTACTTTGATAAATCTTTTCTTATTATACTATGTCATAAAGTCTGCATGTTATCCCTATTGGGGATGTTATCCCAAATAGGGAAAGGCAGGCCTCCAGTATCTAACTAAGCTATCAGTAGATGTATTGTCAAGCTAACCAGGTTTCAGTTTTGGTTCCTGAAGGGCTAATCGCTAATTTTCCAGGTTAATTTTTTTTTCTCAAGGGGTTCCCTAGTACTGATATATAGAGCAGCTTCTTGAGCCTTTGTTACTAGTATCTAGTATCTAGTATTAACAAAATTCTTTGAAAACTAGAGATATGGTCTTGTGTAGTCTATGCCCCATAGACAGCAAGTAAATGGTGTTCTCACCAGGTTGTTTCAAAATGGTTTAAGGTGCAAATTAGAAAAGTGTAGCCTTAAACAAGATTTATTTCTTTTTTATGAGGATACCCCCTACCACACCTATAATTCGAAGAATTACCTCTGAACTTGATCCATAGGCGGGGAATACACCGCCCAGGCTCTAGGAAAGTGTGAGTTCACATCTTTTATCTTACCTTTCACCACTACAGTTTTAAATACTACACTATTATTTCTTCTCTTTTTCTCTCCACATATACCATGTCAAGGATTACTGAAGCGCTGCACCTGCCCCCCTGTTTGTATCCAGTTTTCTGATCGGAAAAGAGAGACTCTGTATTGGTGTTCAAGCTGCTTTTGGACTACTATCATTTCGCTTCCGTGCTGAATTTATTTTTGTGTGATTGTGCCTACAGAAATTGTCTATGACAGTGGGAGCCAATTTGTGTTTCAGTTTTGGAGGATATTTTGTGAAGAGTTGAGCAACAGCTTTAATTCTTTTCTGCCTACCACCCACAGTACAATGGTGCAGATGAAATATCTAATCAACTCTAGAACAGTACCTCCTTCCACATACTCAGGACAATTGGGCTGACCTGTTGCATTTGTCTGAGTTTGCCTGAAATAATGCCAGTTTTGACTCCTTCGGTCACAGTAATTAATTCATTAATGGTTACTTATGGATATGAAAGTTTTACATAAAATCTATAATATAATTAATTTATAACTTCAAAAACCCTTGTCTTAAATGTGTTTAGTAGAAAATTCCCTTATTTGTTATCCTTATGTGGAATTGTCATATTTAAGGATACCAGCTTAGGTAGCGATCTAATAAACACATACACATGTATATTTATACACACATTACCACACATATATATATACACACACACACACACACACAATCACATACCTATACACACAATCAAAAATATACACACACACAATCACAGACCCACACAAACACATATAATCACAGACCAATACACACAGTCACACACAATCACAAATGTACACACACAATCACAGACCCACACATTCACATACAATCACAGACCTATACACACACACACACACACAATCACAGACATATACACACACATAATCACAGATGTACACACAGAGACATACACACACACACACACAGACCCACACACTATATCACAATATCAGACACACGCATAATCACAGGCACACACACACAAACACACATACATACACAATCACAGACCTTTACACACAATCAGAAACATATACACACATAATCTCAGAAACACACACATACAATCACAGACCTATACACACAGTCACATACATAGACATAGAATCACAGACACACATACAATTACAGATCTATACACACAATCACAGACCCACACACACACATACAATTACATACATACACAATCATAGACACACATACAATCATAGACACACATACAATCACAGACCTATACACACAGTCACATAAACACACACATACACAATCAGATATGTACACACACAATCACTAACCAACATACATACAATCACAGAACTATACACACAGTCATATACATAAACACACACACATAATAACAGATTTACACACAATCACTGATACACACACATACAATCACAGACCTATACACAGTCACAGACATACACACACACAAACAAACACAAATATACACATACACAATGACGGACATATACACAGACAATCACATACATACACACACACACACACACAATCACAGACCCACACACACATACAATTATAGACCTATACACACAGTCACATACACACACACATTTAGACCCACACAAACAATAAAAGACACACACACCTATAAACACAATCACATATATACACACAGAACCACTGAATTACACGCACACAATCACAGACATAAACCCTCCCTCCACACACAATAAAAATCCCATATACACACACATTTAGTACTAAAGGGGTCCACCCAGCCTCCCAACCTTGCTCCGGGAGGGCTGGAATGGATCCTTTGTCCCTGGTAGCCAGTGGTTGCTGCTGGGCTGGGACCTCTGTGCTCTTCGTGCGCCCAGCATTGATGCTGATGCCGGTATGACGTCATATCCTGGTGGCCAGCTCACTGCAGGGCATACGAGGGAGCTGTGCATGAGGAGCACAAACTGTAAAGGGCTCTCTGCCTCCCCCTTTATCTCTAACTGTGTATATTTTTACCTCGGAACCACACCTAGGAAGTAATGTTTAGCTACCCACAGGGGACTCCCCCATTAGGCAACATTAATCTGTATAAACACAGGCACGTTGCTCTGAGGCTTGACTATTTTCAATGGATACAGTGTATCTTCTAGTATCCACGCTCTTTATTTTATGTTGCTGGCTACATTGACTCCTTTACAAAGAAGCTACTGACAACAGTCACCTTAATTCTATTGTGGCCAACACATATATTGCGTGACTACTGCATATATTGCAGATTTATGGATGTACCTTTTTATATTCATTGTATATAGTTTTGTTCATATCACTGTATATAACTTCTACACTGGCCATCTGGCTAAAATTGAGTTTATGTTCAATTTTCCCTTCTCCCTAAGTGGGACCAATAAAGATTTACTTTTAAATTTGATCCACTATGTAACGGCACCCCCAGGCATAAAAAGGGGTTAAAAGCCGTTTAGTAGATCTTCCCTTCCAGAGACACAGGCACAGCTACTGTAGACACCAATACACCGAACCGGAGAAGCATATGAATGCTCTCAAACATACGAATGATGTAGACAGCCGAATAGGAAAAACCATATGAATAGGTTTACACTCCTAGCAGTCAAACTGGAACAGCATACAATAAATCCCCCAAGAACGAGACAAGGCTCTGTTTTGAGGGTCAAGCAGGAACAGGCAGGGCTGTGGGTTTATTGTTCTTATATACACATTAGTACCACCCACAGGGTTTTAGAAAACAACCAATAAACACGTACAATAGACTCAGACACTCCCACACAAAATCCTCCCCTCTGCCTGTGATACAATTACCTTACACAATGGGTAATGTAATTATCACAGGCAGAGAAATACAGTTTTTCCACATTATTCATAATTGTAAAAGAATGCATCACATTCACAAACTTACATTTTCAGAATCAGCAAATACAAACATACGTCAAAATCATACAAATTGGTCCAGTGGTTCAAAAGATAGATCGTAGTCCTTTGTGACCAAATGAAGCATGGCTTTTCTGCCCAAAACCAGTTCCACATAGTCTTCTATCCTGGAGATAATTGGGGAGTAATCCAATTATCTCCAAGGACAGAGGCAAAACTCCACTGAACACATGGCAGCAAAAATAAAAATATATAACTGTGCAGCCATTGCATAAAACAGGTATATTCAACATATCCCCAGATAGCTCAGATCTGAGCGCACATTATTACTGAATGGCGCTCAGATAACACACATACATTTCAATTGCCATGGAGCCAAAATCTTTCCCATAGTCTTTCATTATACGAATGGGCTCCATGGCATAGCTATCTGGGGTATCACCGCTCAAACAGGGCAAGCACCGAATGACCCAGCTTTCGTGTCTTTGCAGGGGAAAATCAAGCGTTTCAACATGAGGCCATAGTCTAAAGGCAGCAGGCGGGCAACCAGGCTCCTCCAATGCACAGTGGCGAGATTGGTCTCGTCACACACTATATCTTCTTTGATTAGCAACCTATCGCTTTAAAATAGCAAAGCAGTGGACTATTACTTTTATCCTTTCTAGTCCCCAAGAGGGATCATTAAAGATTAATTATTACTCTAGTTCTGTTTATGCTCTATTACTAGCAACTTATTGCTTTGAATTAGCTGAGCAGCCATTTTCAGGGTATAGAGACTGTTAGCGGCCCGGGCTGCAAGTTGGATACCATTGCTTTAGACAATCACCTTGTTGAACTTCAGGCTATATGGGACCTTCTGAACCTCTGTGTACTGCTCTAAATGAGGTATGCCAACCATAAGCTTCTTCTACTGTTTGGAAGCAAGACGTGAACTTAAATTTTCGCAACTTTACAGGCAACATCTCAGTGATTATTAACTGTTGACAAAGTGTGTTCCTCTATAGGCTGGTAGTCATAACTGGAATAACTGAGAATGAGTGAAGCTTTATGGATTAGAATTCATACTGCAAAACACTTTATCAACCAATATAGGTTTTTAAAATATTTGTGTCCATTAGCCAGCCTCAGTTCTATTCATGCATTATTTACACAACATTCAGAAATGGAGCGGTCAAGGAGACATTTTTCATACCTTTAAATACCCACCGAATATCCACAGTTTGAATGGCAAAAAAATACTGTGGCTGTTTACTAATAAGATTTAAAAAAGGCTACCTTTTCCTAGTCACTCACAGGGTTACTCTAAGCACCATGACCAATTAATTGGTTTGAAACGGTCGTGGTGCCTGGAGTCTGTATGTGCTATGAAACACTGCATATATTGAGTTTAACATCTTTACTGATGAAGGTGTAACACCACTTCTGGCATCATCATTGGAGGCTCATTAGCCTGCCTTGAACATGAGTTTTGTCTGGCTAAGGCCAATCCTATGCAACTATGCATAAGCCGAGTGTAAGCATGTTGTGTCTGTATCTTAGGCAGCAATTCTGTTTACACATTCTGATAGATGAACCTGCTGCTGTATGTGAAAAATCATAGATCAGTATCCAATACTCTCACAGAATAAAATGGGATGATTAGGACTGGCATGCATCTTTTTATTTTAAGTAATGATCACTGAAGGATGCTACACATCATATATGAGAAGCACTTAACTCAATGTGGACCAACTCCATTCTCAGGTTAATTCCAATTGTCCAACACTAACATTCCCTCTCCTACTAACAATGGTTTATTTATCTGATCCTTTTTATATTTATTATATGGATAAATGCTCAGAACGTATTAAACATAATGGAAACTATTTCTGACTTAATATTGTCTATGGTTGATCCATTGCAGGATAGAGAATGTACCTAAATTGGTAAAATTTGGTAATGGATCTTTGTGCTTAAACTGGAATGCAAAATGCTGGATCATGCTATTCATACCTATATGTTTTCCATGCAGTTACAATGTTAAATTGTAAGTGTTTAAATGGCTACTCCAATCATCATGGCTACAATAGCCTAGTTTGCCCTCTTACCTGGTCCTGCTGGGTGCCCAGTCTCCTTTAAGTGTGGCTTCTTTACGATGTGCAGAAGCCAGAAGTCAATCCCGTTGGCCATTCATTGACTGAAAATGCCAGCTGACCACTCACCAATGACTGCAATTCTGGGCATAGGAATATGCACATAATTGAGATTAGTCAGTCTGGACTATTAGCTTGCTGATCACGTCCCGGTGATTCTGCAAGAGGTGGAGTTATACCTCCCGCAGCAGAGGGGTTATTCTCCATATACACAGCGCTTCTTAGCGAAACAGCACACATACAGACTCCAGCCACCATGGCCACTTCAAATCACTAACATGGACATGGTTGGAGTAACCCTTTAAGTAAAGATCATATGGTGTTGATTAATGGACAGTATAAAGAAAACTATATTTTAATCAAATATAATGTTTTTTTTAATAAATACAAACATAGTAACACAGCATTCACTATTAGATATGAAATATATTTGCATACACCTCACATGGGGTGCACCCCTAACATGTTCGACATATAATATTGTGTGCTCGTACTATAATTCAGTTAAAGGCTTTGGTTTAATGTGCTCTGGGAAACCAATCCATGCTAAAACGTGACATGTAGTTTGAGTGGAAAAAAAAATCCTTTTTTTTTTTTGCCAGCCGTACACAACTTTCACATACTGCTGACCGGTAAATGTAAAGTGTTTTTCTATTGTATTTCTATATATGATCACAGACTGAAATAGATAAATCACCTGGGATGGGGGAAAGGGTGGGGGTGGTACCTGCGATTAATTTATTAAGTTGCTTCTGCAGAGGAAGCACTTTACATGCTCCGGTCAGCAGGATTTGGAAATGATGTAAAAGTGGTAAAAATGGCTTTTACCAGAAACCTAAATGCAGGATTACTGTGTAAAAGTAATAGATGCTGATAGTTTCATAAAGAGCTTACTTTATAACAAATACGTAGACTGTACATTGTACATAACTTGTTGCTTTTCATTAGTGCACAGTTGAAGTCTGACCCAGTATTTAATGGCTACTAAACCTGAACATATTTTGTTTTCTTTTTGCATCTTGCATCAATGCAAACATTGAATCAAAATTTACTTTTAGACTTTTTTTTTTTTTTTTTATGGCTTCACGTGTTTATTTATTGTTCCATGGAATACCCTCGGCTTTGGAAATCTGGTTACGTGTTCTTGGCCTTTGCTGACTTCTTGCAGCGTTTGGATATGCTGGTTCAAAGACTTCTTCTTCCACAACTTCCTCAATGGGCATCATCTGCTGCGAAGTTCCAGGAGCAGGAGAATGACCTATCGATATGGCCACAAATAACATAATAAATGCACGATTAAAGGCCAGATCTCAGTATTGGCAAACATTAAAACTATATTAACTTATAGGGTGAGTTTAAGAGCTGGTATTCCCAGTAGTTTCCTGGCTAATGCACTGCATACTAATGCATCTGAAAACATTGACTTCCGCACACACAAGCCTGTTTCATTAATCACCCTAATGATATATGACACACTTTGCAATAATATCTTAGCACATTAGCCAGATCATGCTGATGTACCTAGAAAACGGTCTGTATTTTATCTGTGTACTTTAAGACAATGGAGTATTTGCACTAAACAGTGAATTGCGTTGTGCTGACAACCACCTCCAAAAATTAGACAAAGACGCTAGGGTTGGAAAAATGTGGTTGTCTAATCACCACAATGTTTAGTGCAAATGTTTAGTAAAAAGATACTTTTTTTGGGACAATCTTTAGTTATTAATCTATAATGAGAACAAAGGAATAGTACCAGAGTACCATAGAAATAAAAATATACTATTGATAATTATGTTGCCTTTACTTACATAACTGCATCTGATACATTTTTAATTCAATTTAGAGCATTAAGAGTTTTTTTTTTTAATTTTGTTTTTGGTCATTTAGAAAATTATAGATGTTTGCGACTGCAAAGCAAAATTCCTGCTTCTGCTTGAGCTACAATTATACGATTCTACTGATTATAACATAACAATAGGGGTGCTGCTATGTCTTTTATAAATGCACCATTGAAAATCACCTATAACTTGTGTTAACATTTTGTTTTTCATGTAATGCTCCATTTTCTTTTAAATGTACAGTATATCAGAGAGTGAAATCATAATTCAGTTGACTCCAGGCACAGTCAGGACACACAATGCAAATGAGGAAAACAGAAACATTTTCAGTTTCTCCTCTTCATCTATCTTCAGTGGCAGAAAACTATTATAGTGCTGATTGATAACGAACCAAGATAAAGGTGCCCACATCTAGGATATAATTTAACTCTAGCAGTAAAGATTGCTATTAGACATGTGCAATTCGTTTCGGTCCGAATATCCGAATCTCCGAAAGGCAGAGGTCCCGAAGTTCCAAAATTGCAGATTTTCCGAAGTGTCGAAGGGCCGAAGTTCCGAAGTGTCGAAGTGCGAAGTGTGTAATTTGACTCATAACACTCTGATTGGCTACTTAATCCACCAATCAGAGTGTTATGAGTCAAATTACACAGCGTGGGAAAATTCAAAAGAACTTTTCCACGCTGTGTAAAATGACACAGAGCACTCTGATTGGTGGATTTCAAACCAACCAATCAGAGTGCTGTGACAGGTAAATGTAGAGAATTACCTGTTAGTCTCTTCATTTACCTGTCAGAGCACTCAGATTGGATGGCTTAAACCCACCAATCAGAGTTCTCTGAGCCTAATTGCAGGGTCGGGCAAGGCTTTATAAGCTGCACGGAGCCCTCCATGGGTGAAGATGGATTATTATTTTTGCGCTCAGTTTTTTTTTTTTTTTTATCGGTTATTATGGATTTTTTTAATTTTTTTTTTGGGGGGGCTGAAAAAAGAAGATTTTAGAAGAAAGAAAACATTGAATGGTAAGTTTTATTTTTTTTACAGGTACTTAGTTAAAGGTCCCCCCCTCATTATTTTTAGGGTGAGGGGGGTAGGTAGGGGGTTAATTCTTTTTTTGGGGGGGAGGGGGTGACTAGGGGTTTGGGGACCCCTAGTCACCTGGGGGTAAAAACATTTTTAGGGCCCCCATCTGCCGCTCAGGGGTGGGGGCCATGGGGGAGTACCTTAGGTCCCCCCCCTTATTAGTATTTAGGGCCCCCACCCACTGCTCATGGGTAGGGGCCAGGGGGAGGACACTAGGTCCCCCCTTATTCCAATTGAGGGCCCCCACCCGCCGCTCAGGGGTGGGGGCCATGGGGGAGGACATTAGGTCTCCCCCTTATTAGTATTTAGGTCCCCACCTGCTGCTCAGGGGTGGGGGCCAGAGGGAAGGACATTAGGTCCCCCCCTTATTGGTATTTAAAAACCCCACCTGTCGCTCAGGGGTGGGGGCCAGGGGAAGGACATTAGAAGTTCAGGGGAGGGGGCCAGGGGGGAGGACAATAGGTCCCCCCCATCATTTTACTTTAGGGCCCGCACCCGCTGCTCAGGGGTGAGGGCCGGGGGGGCTATTTTCAGGCTGCTCACTGTTTACTAGACATGCCCCTACTCGCGGTATAGCGAATAGGGGCAAAATCTACTAATACTAAGTAATTTTTACCGTGGGAATTAGGGAGTTATCTACTAAGCGGCTGCAAGATAAGTCCCGAAGTGCCGAAGTCCCGAAATGCCGAAGTTGCCGAATTTCCGAAGTGTCGAAGTGCTGAAGTGCCGAAGTTCCAAAATACTGAAGTGCCGAAGTTCCGTAGTGTTGAAGTGCCCAATTGCTGAAGTCCCGAATTGCGAAAGTGCCGAATTTTGGAATGCCAAACCGAAAATTTTCCCCATGCACATGCCTAATTGCTATGTTTAATTTTAGCTTCCAGACCTCGCAAATACATTCTGCTAAATATTGGGTATACGTACAGATGATTACAATCTTTAAGACATCAACATCCACACTCCCAGAGATTACTTTGGCTTGGCCAGGGTTTTAGTAACTGCGGACAAACATAAGTAGTGAGGCAAACATTTGTTCGTAGAAAGGTTGAGGCCACAGAGGGGGTATCTTATGTCATCACCAGTGACAAGCACACATCAGGTATAGAATATTAGTTTGATGCCCCTTCAGGACATACCAAATGCAGAGCCCTCCTGAGGTGTTCTCAGATGTGGAAAATGCCCTGTGTTTGCATTTTACACTGATGACTTATATCTGCGGTCTCCATAAGTGGAATACCAGAAAACAAAAGTGGGACAGGGATGGTAAAGTTTATTGTGCATGTGTGGTAGCCTGTCTTGTGTTGTATGTGTTTTGAGACTGTGTGTGGAATTAAAGGAATTGTTTGTGGTGTAGAGGGAACTGCTTGTCGTGTAGTGATTGTATAGAGGATTCTGTTTGTGATGTACTATGTATGGCCAGACACTGTGGAGTGATTGCACATATACTGATGCTGTAGAGTTTGTGTGTGTATGGGGTGTTGAAAATGGGTGTTGTACATCTAGGGACTACAGTGTGCATGCGTATAGAGGTTGCAAAGTATGTGTATAGTGGGTGTGTTTATATAGTGGGCCTAATGTGTGTATTGGTGCTGTAGGGTGCATGTATAGAGGTAAAGTATCTGTATGGGGGAGGGGGAGGCTGTAGTCAGTGTGCAGACCGTAGTGAGTGTATAAGCGGTATAGAGGGTGGGATAGGGGCTTTATTAATGGAATTGATGTTAATCATAAATAATTCATAATATATTATATATACAATTATGGTGTGTAATAAGAATAATTCATTGCTTATATTTTATAATTAAAAAAATAAAACTTTTTTTAAACACAAGGGGAAATTACATTGTGTTGGGTATGTGGTCTGCACCTCCACCTGCCCTTCCCTTCTAAAAAAAAAAAAAAAGATTGTAAAAAAGAAGAAAACATTCCTGCGATTCCATGCAGAGGTCACGATCCCTGCAGGGGGAAAAGATATCAGAGAAGCAGGGCTGAGGGAATATTTAGAGTGACTTGGGCCGCATTTAAGGGGCCCATGCTGTTAGGTCCACTTGATGGCAATGAATTTAAAGGGGGCCTGGTCAGCGTTGCGGTGCTTTAACAGCGAGACAGAGCTCCTTGTGATGACATTAGACGCTGGGAGGAACTTACACCAGGAGCCGCACGGGAGGAAGGAGAGGGGGGAGTCAGAGTGGGAACTCTGACTCTCATCAGCCTAAGCCACCACTGGACCACAGGGAAGTCACCCTCCTGCATCTAAAAGGCAGGAAACAGGAGGGTGACTAAAACATTTTGTATATGTGTGTTTGTATGTATGTGTGTGTGTTTGTGTATGTGTTTCTGTATGAATGTTTCTCTGTATGTGTCTCTGTATGTATGTGTGGGTGTCTGTCAGTCTGTGTGTCTGTGTGTGTGTCTGTATGTGTCTGTTTTTGTTTGTATGTGTGTGTATGTCTGTGTGTGTGTTTGTATGTATGTCTGTATATGTGTGTCTCTATATGTGTGTGTGTGTTTGTATGTGTGTGTTTGTGTGTATGTGTCTGTGTGTATGTGTGTGTCTCTGTATATGTGTGTGTGTCTATGTGTGTGTCTGCATGTGTATCTGTTTGTCTGTATGTGTGTGTGGGGGACATATGGGATGGGGAGGATAGACGTACAGGGGGTGGCGGGGATTTGATGTATGGGGGGGTGTCTCAGGGTAATTTTCGCACCGGGCCCTGTGGTTTCTAGTTACGCCTCTGGACCCAAAGCATTGTGCTGCTTGGATTCAAGAACAAGATGATGTTCCCTGCTCCAATATCAAAGCTCATTCCTTTACGAACATATCCACGCAATGCCCTTTCCATATTAATTAGAAAATAACATAGAACTTCCTTCTCCTGCCTATTCACATTTTACTTACCCTATAGTTATCTACTTTCCATTGCTTCTGCATATCCTATATAATCCCACTCCACCTCTAGTGTATCTTTCCTCATATCTCTCCTTCACCACTTGTGTTCCACTCCCCATGTCCCTCTCCCTAACTTTGTCCCAATGTTTTCCATATCCTTCCTTCCCCATCTTGTGTATTTCTCCCGGTAACAAAATTTTGTCTCTCTCCCATACCACCCACCCCTGAGTCTTTCCCCCCTATTAACCCATATATCCATCCCCCATGTGAAAGGATGCATTTCAACCTAGGCCAAAAAGGCCTAAGGACAGCGAGACAGAGTGGAAAGAATGATTATGTGAGTAAGCATGCTCATTTAGGACTCTTCGTGTTTTGCGCAGGGTACTGAGAAAAGGGGACAAGGATATAACAATATTGCATATCTCTGCTCTCTGACGCACACAGCACCAAGCTTCAAACTGGATTCCTGACAGGGGAATAAATTGGAATGACTGATAAACTTAACAGATAACAAAAGACACAGACACAATGCCAAATAATTTCTACAAGAACAACAACGAGTATATCAGGGCAGGATGAATCTGTGGTGAGAAAATGGAAAATATAGATTGATAGGAAGGAAAGGTTATAGCAGTCAAAGCTTTTACTATCCAGATGAATTTTTGGCATACACTGAAACTGGAAGAGAATTCACAGAATTATTTTGAACTGGCTCCAACAAATGTGAGAGATCGTAGAGAAAAAAAATACAAAAGATTAGAAAGAAAATATCTCTCGGTACAGCTTCATGTTAATGTTTGACATCAGAAATATTAGTAAAGGTCTGCAACACTCAGCTTAATTAGCCCATGCAGAGGAAATCTTAATACTTTTAATAACTAAAATTATATAACATTTAGACTTACTAATAATCTGGAATATGAATTATTATCGTAGTCTTGTAGCAGAAGAATTTAAAGGACCACTCTAGGCACCCAGACCACTTCAGCTTAATGAAGTGGTCTGGGTGCCAGGTCCAGCTAGGGTTAACCCATTTTTTCATAAACATAGCAGTTTCAGAGAAACTGCTATGTTTATGAATGGGTTAAGCCTTCCCCCTAATCCTCTAGTGGCTGTCTCATTGACAGCCACTAGAGGCGCTTGCGTGCTTCTCACTGTGATTTTCACAGTGAGAGCACGCCAGCGTCCATAGGAAAGCAGAATGAATGCTTTCCTATGTGACTGGCTGAATGCGCGCGCAGCTCTTGCCGCGCGTGCGCATTCAGCCGACAGGGAGGAGAAGAGGAGGATCGGAGGAGAGCTCCCCGCCCAGCGCTGGAAAAAGGTAAGTTTTATCCCCTTTCCCCCTTCCAGAGCCAGGCGGGAGGGGGACCCTGAGGGTGGGGGCACCCTCAGGCCACTATAGTGCCAGGAAAACGAGTATATTTTCCTGGCACTATAGTGGTCATTTAAGAAACATATCAAACACATTAAACATGCACAAAGCTAACATGATTATGTAAACAAAACAAAATGTAATTTCACAAGCGATTTTAAGTGGTTTCTGCTTTAGAGGTATATTGGTTAATTAATTCACTGTGAACACATATGGTAAAAATCTAAACCCATTAATACCTTCTGAGTGAGTCTTGGGTTTTATATGAGGTTATCAACAGAAAACATCATGCTTCACACGAGCCACGCCATATGCATTATAGAACTCTTGGTGCTTATTTCCTTAATATAAAAGCAGACAGTTAGTTTTTTTATAACAATCAAAAACACAATTGTTAGCTTGAAAATGAGGTTAACCATACTTGAATTAATGTTTAATGACATATTAGTAAAATATATTCCATGAGGCATGGAAATATATTTGCTGTTACAAAATGTAAAAAAAAACCCAGAGAAACAAACAAAAATAAAAATAAAATAAAAATATATTAAGACAATACATTATCATTTTGAGCCTTAGTTTCTATTTAAATGCCTGTTCTTTTCTTTATGTGTTGCACCACTTAAAGCAAACAAATTAGAACACAAAACTAAAAGCTGAATCGGAACATTAAAAGTGTTAATAGCAAAAGTAGTATTTTAACAAAGTGTAAACTTGACAACTAAAATGCTTTCTTAAATCTTCTAGTGGTCTCTGCTGCCAGTCTGGGAACTGGGGTTATTTTTGTAGTAATATGATGTTTTTGTGTGGCTACATTTGTTATTATCTGTGTTGCTAATACTAATAAATTGTCTGTAGGCGAAATTTTAAAAAACTAAATAGTTTATATGTAAAACTTCAACATATTCTGGAACTCTATACAGTGGGCAAAAAAACAAAACAAAACACATGCAACTAATGACAAATGTATGCAAACAGTTACAGAAGGTGTTGAGCATCCTGCTCAGAAATAAGTGGGTTATTTTGTAAAGGTATGCATGGTATCCAGATAGATAAGCAAGTAATTTTAATCTAATCTAACCATGATGAATATTACTGCTATAAATCACAAGCTTTTAAGGACTTCCTTCCAGCCACAGTTTTTGTGATTTGCGTTCTTTTTCTTATTTAAAAATAAATAAACGTTGGTTATTACAAATACTTATTACATTTTGTGGGACAGTAGAAAAGAAGAGTTAAAACCAAAAGAAGAGTTTTCCCCCATTAGGTTTAGATTAATTGGGCTCTACTTCACTGTTTTTAGGGTGATGGTAAGAAGTATATTCTTGTCTGTGTGGGGGGGGAGGGGGGTGAATAGGTACTTGGAGGCAACTAGCCACCATGGGGGCCAGGGGGCCTTACTAGCCCCAAACAAAGCCTATGGGTGAGGTAAGGTTTCGGTCAAACATGTGTCCACTTCCCCTTCTATATGTTTCAATAGCCCCAAAAAGTCAGTAATTAATTACTTGTATTGACCAGTAGAATTAAATGCAGGTTTCAGGCTTTTCATAGCATTATAATTTATACAGAAATGGTTGGATCAGTGGATGTACGTAGAAAAAATATTAATAAACATAATAAAAGTTTGATGCGGCTGCTTTTCTTTTTGTACTATCTGCCAGTTTCTTCATATTATGTTTAGTTTAACTGTATCTAAACACTTTTTTTCTCACACCATTGATGTATCTATCCCCTGAGTGATGGTACCATGTAATCTACTAAATCATTCATGTGATTTTCAAAATCTACATGCTGCTTCTTCACACTAAATTTCCAAATTAATTTAAAAAGTTTCTTCACATGCATGGGAGCTAGCACAGAGCATGCATGGCCACTGGCATGTTTATTTATTTAACACATTTTATCACTGTTCCTGAAGGTATTTCAAGTCAACATCTGAAACTGGTGCTAAATTTAGTTTTTCACACACTTACGGCTGGATAAGAAGGTGATTGGAACATGTAAAACTTGCTGAATCCTAATCAGTGTTTCTGCCTATGGTGATAAACTTCAAATTCAAAATTAAACTAAACTACAAGAAACTGATATCTTCATCTATCAGCAGGAAAACCCACCCACCAACACACAGAAAGAATATTTGTATAGGAATTCTGCTGGAACCCATAATTTTTTCATTTTTTTTTAAACCTCACAAATCCCTCAATCTTCCATATCCATCTGTTCAGGGGTCCCAAAGCCCCTTACTCCAATTAGTGTAAACTTTACAAAAATAAAAATGCCATACATTACATCCTTCTCTTCTGGTGATGAATATAAGCCAATAAAATAAAACATCTAAGACACAACTACACAATCCAGCCACAAACAATAATAAATAAATACAAAATATTAATCTGAAAAATCTGAATCCTAACTATTTCAGCGCAATGTTAAAGAGCATTTGATTTAAATACCATTGATTTTGGACAATTTCCACCTGCATTGCGATTGGATGGCTTTCTGACTCAACAGCCCATACTCACTTTGGTGAGTATTTATTGATTATAATAAAAGCACCAGTTTGAAATAAACTTTAATTTCAATTTTTTTGAATCCCTGAAATAAGGTTCAGTTTCGAGTCACATAAGAGCCAGCAATGTTAATTAATCACAGTGAATCACACTCTGGCTTCTCAATAAATCATAAAGAATGTTATTTTTAGGAAAGTGATATGTGGTATTTGAAACCAACCTGCGACTGCACTGAGCAGTAAAACTTTAATTCCTAAAAATTATGAAGCAGTAAAACTTCAACTCCTCTCTCTGTGATTTATGTATACTTTAAAAGATGTTTCCATGATATACGTGAACAGGACTTTTATATTTTAAGTAATGCATTGAGTAATGCAATTTAAAATGACATTTCGTAGTAGCAAAAACCCTATTATGTTCTGTATCACAATGCTGTTCTAGAATGCATATTTGTCTTCAAACATTAGCCCTACTGAAAATATTACAAAAAGAAAAAAAAAAAGTGTAGAAACAGCAAAGCAAGAACGACGATTATTTAAATTGACCACTGCCATGGCTCTGTTTTTGTGCAAAAACAAAACAAACAAACAAACAAACAAACAAACAAATAAAAAACACTTTAGATAGATAAACAGACAGGTGACATGCAGTAATTAATCATTGTACAGAGAAATAATTGACAGATTGATTGATTGATCTACATGGATAATAGACAGGTAGGTACATTGTTCAATACACAGAAACTACTCACTACTACAAATGTTTTCTTATAACCTATATATCTGTTGTTCCTTTGTATTTTTTCGTTTTTGTGTTCAGCCCAGCCACATATTCTTCTATTTGATTTACGGACTAAATGAAGCTAGATTTTTAGTTAGCTTGCCATATTAGTTACACATAAAAACATCCCCGATAAAGGGATATGAACAAAAAGGTGCAAGGTGTTACACACATTTATAAAGGCAAGTATACTAAACAAATAGTGCAGCATAATAAGAGCCTTCGAGTCTTTGCAAAATGTGTGATTCAGGTTTACATTCAATTTAAAATATTAAATACTAATTATTTTATTGCTGTCATACTTACGTAGAGAAGAAGCAGTGGATGTTCCTCGTAAAAAGTTATGTAGGCCATCTTCACCATCGCTTGTGCTTGCTAAGCTGTTTCTCATCTGCATTACTGAGAGCTGGGAGCAGAGACTAGCTTGACGATCTATCTTTTTGGCTACCTTTAAAGAATAACAAAATAGTAAATACATATATAGTTTCATACCATATGTATATGAAAATATCACATGTATTTAACACCCTGGTGGCAGACATATACAGTATCTCACAAAAGTGAGTACACCTCTCAATATTTTATTATATATTTTCATGTGACAACACAGAAGAAATGACACTCTGCTGCAATGTACAGTAGTGTCAATTTACTGTCCCCTCAAAATAGCTTGAGACACAGCCATTAATGTCTAAACCATTGACAACAAAAGTGAGTACACCCCTAAGTGGAAATGTAAATACGAGAGGCAGCTGATGGCCATTCTAACAAAGGATTTTTAGAGTGTTTTGACAACTGGAAGATATGCTGGGAGAACTGTGTGAGGTCCCAAGATGCCTACAATGAGGGGATTGAGGCATCACTTTCCTATGTACAATGTACAATGCCCCAGTCACCTGCAATTGTAAACACAAGCTGCAAGTGCTATAAGACTCTGTGAATGGAAAACCAGGTTGGCTACAGCCAAACAGTAGAAATTGTTGAGCATGTCGACATATGTCATTGTAAACTGCTCATATTCTCTCATATTCAACTTCCCAATGCAAGTGAATGAGAGTACAGGTACTGCTTGGGACCACCAATCAACATCTCCTATGATGTTGAGAGAGTTAGGAGAATCTAATGCCAGATTTATCCATTCTCACATCGGTTTTTGCTGTTGATCCAAATATTCAGAGGTATTTTTCTTCTCATTTATTTACATTTTAGTGTTTACTGAAAGTGTAATTTGGTAAATAGGTATTTTCAATCACATGTGTTTTTAGTTAGTCACTTAGACCACCAGTTAAAGAGACTCTATGGGCACCCAAACCACTTCATCTCAATAAAGTGATCTGGGTGTCATGTGCGCCCCATCCATTTTTAACCCTGCACCAGAAAAACCACTGCTGTCCTATAGTAAGGCAATGTTTTTATAGCAGGCCTAGCTGTCAGAATCTTAGGAGCATTTGCAATATAATGGAATAAAACTCCACTATATATTTCAGATGGTTTCATAGAGACCATCTGACTGGACAGCGTTTTGCCACATACATCCACTAGCCTCCAAATGACTTCCAATGAGAAAGCATTGGATTGGCTGAGATCTTTGATTTCGATGATCTCAACAAAAAGGTGAGGTGGAATTCCAGGGAGACCAGCGCTGCAAGGGAGAAAATGTAAGTAACAATCACCTTTCAAGCCCTAGGAGTTGGGGCTCATCCATCTAAACGGTGACTAAGGCATTAGAACCTTCGGGATATACACATTTGTATTCCTAACACAAAAGTGTTTCTTTAAGAAATAGTAAGCATTATAGTTGCTATCAGCATCGTTTCTCCCGCTCCCCATAGTTAACTATTACTGATTAGCTCAAACATTGTACAACTGACCCACAGAAACCTAATAAGATTTTTTTGTATTTTGTATTTTTTTTATTGAACCCTTGGAGTTGGTATATGGAATTGAAATGGCCAGAAACCACTGTACAGGGCTCGTCTTTCTTAGTTTAATAGATGGAAATGGGTAGCCTGCGACTGTCTGCCAATACATGGATATCAATTTTAAATGGTGTTGAGATGTACATTATATTAATAAATGATCTGTGATAAAATTCACATAAATACAAAATGGTGTAATTAATATGCAATTAGTGCTACAAATGGGTGCTCCTTACTTTTAAAACAACATAACATTAAAAGTATAAAATTATAAATGTCTGATTGATTTTTAAACACCGCTTTATCTTATAGAAAAGAGTGTAGTAAAAAATATTAAGTGTGTGGCTGTCAAATGATGGGAAGGCTATACAACTGCTTTGAAACTAAGGCATACATTAGCCAATAATGATGAAATGATGAACAATAATTCAGGGATCCATCACTTGTAATTTTACCTAGCTACATCTAAAACCCTGCCTTTCTCCCTTATAAAATGGGATTCATAATCTGCCATACAGATCTTTAAAGGGACACTATAGTCATCAAAACAACTTTAGCTTAATGAAGCTGTTTAGTGTATATATCATGCCTGTAAAGTTTCACTGCTGAATTTGCTGCCATGTAAGAGTTAAATCACTGTGTTTCTGTTTATGCAGCCCTAGCCACACCTCCACCGTCTGCTACTCACACAGACAGAATTGTAATTTTTATTTTTAATCTTCAATTAGATGTTAACTTCCTTTAGAGATTTTTATATCCTGCTCTGTAAATTGAACTTTTATCACAGGCAGAGTGCTCCTGGAAGATTTAGCAAGGTATTAACAGTACAGAAAATAGGAAATTCTAAATTAAACAGATTTTGTAATAAAGAAAGTGTAAACATTAGATCTCACTTTGCAGGAAATGTTTAGGAAGGCTGTATACGTCACAAAAGGGGAGGTGTGACTAGGAGTGCATAAACAAAATGATTTGACTCCAAAATGAATTGAGAATTGAGAAGTGAGACTGCAGGGGCATGATCTATACACAACAACTACATTAACCCCTTAACGCCGTTACGGCGTTCTATGCCGTTGCGGCTTTAAAGGGCTTTAAAGCCGTTGCGGCGGCATAGAACGCCGTAACGGCTTAAGCCCCCAGGACCTCGGCGGTACTCACCTCCGCCACGATCCTCTTCTGGAGGGCTGCCTGACAGCCCAGGCAGCCCTCCTCCGGCAAGTGAGGCCCCTGGGGGCCATGTGATCGCTCTCAAAGAGCGATCACATGGCCCCCTATAGCTGGCTGTGGATCTGCCAGCAGGGGGGCTGTCTGAAATATCAGACAGTCCCCCTGCTGGTAGGTAGTGTAAAAAAAATAAAAATTAAGCAGGTTAGAAAATAAATTTAAAGTATTTTTATATTATATATATGTAACGTCATACAAAGTGTATTTTAATACTAATATTAGTATATATATTAATATTAAAATACACTTAGAATGACATTACATATATATAATATGTATATATATTATATATATAATAGATATATACACATATATTATATATATATATACGTATAATTACAATAATAAAGAAATTAAATAATAAAATAAATAAATTAAATATTGAAACAAAATTTAATATAAATTATATATTCATATGTAATTTCATTCTAACTGTATTTTGTTATTAATATATATATATATATTGGTAACAAAATACACTTAGAATGACATTCTATATATAGATATCTATATTTAAAATACAAATAACCACAAATATATATATATAGATAAATACATATAATTACATAAAAGATTACATTAGTATACACGTAGAATTTAAATACCTATAAATGCATATATATTAAATTACTACGTGTATATTTAAGTAATCTTTTAACATAATTATGTGATTTGATTAATAAAAATTTGTTTGACATGCCTGACAACACAGGGAGAAAGTGCAGAGAATTTAATTCGCAAGCACCATAGTGTACCCTGTAACTCTCCAAGACACCATAAAACCTGTACATAGGGGGTACTGTTTTACTCAGGAGACTTCGCTGAACTCAAATATTAGTGTTTCAAACTGGTAAATTGTATTACAACGATGATATTTTAAGTAAAAGTGAAGTTTTTTGCATTTTTTACAAACGAACTGCACTTTTATGGACTATTATTGTTGTAATATGTTTTACTGTTTTAAAACACAAATATTTGTGTTTAGTGAAGTCTCCCGAGAATAACAGTACCCCCAATGTCAGGTTTTATGGTGTTTTGGGAAGTTAGAGAGTCACATATAAGGATTGCATTTCATTTTTTTTACATTGAAATTTGCCAGATTGGTTATGTTGCCTTTGAGAGCGTATGGTAACCCAGGAATGAGAATTACCCCCATGATGGCATACCATTTGCAAAAGTAGACAACCCAAGGTATTGCAAGTGGGGTATGTCCAGTCTTTCTTAGTAGCCACTTAGTCACAAACACTGGCCAAATATTAGTTTTTGCTTTTTTCACACAAAAACAAATATGAACGCTAACTTTGGCCAGTGTTTGTGACTAAGTGGCTACTAAAAAGACTAAACATACCCCACTTTCAATACCTTGGGTTGTCTACTTTTTCAAATGGTATGCCATTATGGGGGTAATTCTCATTCCTGGGCTACCACACCGTCTCAAAGGTAACATTACTAATCTGGCAAATTTCAATGTGAAAATGGAACGTTCTATATTTGACCCTGTAACTTTCCAAAACACCATAAAACCTGTTAATGGGGGTTACTGTTGTACTCGTAAGACATTGCTGATTACAAATATGTGCATTTTTGTGCAGTAAGACCTAACAGCATTATGACATTTACAGATAAAATGTGAGGCTGAACTACAATTTTTTTTTTTTTAAAAAAATTTAAATTTCTCACAGTTTTTTTAATTTTATTCATAATAAATTATGTTTCATATATAAATATTTGATATGAAATGAAAGCCCTGTTTCCCCTGAATAAAATGATATATAATATGTGTCGGTGCATTTAATACGAAAGAGGTGAATTACGGTTGAACAGACATATAGCGCAAATTCCAGTTTTTGTTTACGTTTTGTTTTGATCAGAACGTGTACTATTGACTCTGTCCTGAAGGGGTTAAACTAAAGTTGCTTTGTTGACTATATTTAATTGTCCATGAATGAGTTTATTGCAAGCATCACAACGCAGTGGGCCCAACATTCTTATACTGTGTGTGCTTTGTGGCTCAGCATTCTATTTATAATGTCGCCATGTAATAGTATTTCAATCATAAGTTTAAAAATACAATGAATCACGAAATAGAAACAATAAATCAAATAAATTATGGATAATAAAAAAAAAAAAAATTATGTTTTCAGGATCTGTTATAGGAACTTTAATACATTTTTGATTTATGGGATATTAAGCGATTTTAACACTTTTGTATCATTAAGGAGTCTAAAGTTGACTTTTTACTTATATATCCTTATCTGCTGCTGATATGGTGTTTTCATTACCGAAACTGCTGATTGAGATGGGCTTTTTTTTGGTGTGTGGATTAATTGCACCTGCTGGTTCTGCAGAATCTTGCATTGCTTGCCTTTAACCCCTTAAGACACATGACGTGTGACATGTCATGATTCCCTTTTAATCCAGAAGTTTGGTCCTTAAGGGGTTAAAACATATACTAATGAAATAAAGTTATTATGCAATATATATTTTAGTACATGAATCAAAATAATATTACATAAAAAGTTCTAAATGTCTTACCTTGTCACTTAATGTAGGATCATTCAATGAATACAATTTGTTTGTAATATCTTTCCCAATCAAATATTTAAATATTTCATAAAGAAATGGCTCTGACTCCAAAAAGTATGTTAACCTTTCCCGAGACCAGCATAAAAACACACAGGTATCGTCTGCAGTAATCGTGACCTAGGAAATAAACATAAACTACATTATTTAAAGTAAGGTTTACCCATGTCAGAAGCCATATTTTAAAACAAATTCTTAAACTTTCTTATTTTCAGCTGCAAAGAAACCATGATTTTTTTAAAGAGAGAATTTGTACATGACCCATGACTTTAATCAATACATTATCATCATGAAGAAGATGGAAAGTGATAACGTATAGTTGGTTCCATGCTAAGGACTCGATTTATTATTTTTGGATAAACTTTTAAAATGATTTGATATTATGAAAAATATTAAACATTTGTAATGTTTCGAAATAGTTTTATATAGTGTTATACTTTTTATGTATATGATATATTTTTTGATATTTTAAAAGTTTATCCACAAATATTAAATCATTTGGAAAGTTTATCGATCGATTTTAAATCAACACCTAAGGCCTCGATTTAATAAGCTTTCTAACTGATCAATACTGTTAGAAGAACTTTCCAACGGAATTATTTAATCCGAATTTTGCAACTGATGATTTACACAGAACTCCCCATTAAAGTCTGTGGGTGTTTTTGTAAACAAATCACTTGGAAAGCTTATTCAACAATATTAAATTGAGGCCTAAGTTGGATAATGTCAAGTTTACAGTGACTGTGGTTGGTCAAGAGACTGACCCTGGAATGGCAGACCCATGGTATTTCATCACACTTCCTCTACCTTCAATGAAGTGCTGGTGCTTGTATAGCACTGTTCTAGCAGCATGGTTGCCAGCTGCAACAGCCGATGCAGTATTGTTTTCAGCAACTATGTATGCGGATTTCTGGCTACTTTCCTCCTCAGAATGTCAAAGGGAATCATGGCCATTAGAAGATGCTTATCATGCGAGTGTTTATGGACATACCTGCCAAATGTCCTTATGTAGGAGGGACAGTTCAACAGTCCGTACTTTGGGCCTAAGTCCCTCTGTCCAACATTTCCATCCTAATGTCACTCTTTCTAGGATCTCCATATTGCTGGTGTGTGTGTGTGTAACAGAGCTCCACCGTAATAGTACTCCCCGCAATGTGTCTTTAAATTGCAATAAATGTGTTTAGAAATCGCTGAGACACTATGAGACATGGGGACACAGGGAGCCCTTGGGGGACGCTAAGACACTTGGAGACATTGAGATACTAGGGGACAATGAGACACTAGGTGACACTGAGACATGGGGACACTCAGACATGGGGACACTGAGACACTAGGGGACGCTGGGAGACATGGGGACACAGACACTTCTGGACACTGACACATAGGGGACACTTTGGGACACTGAGACATGGGGAAACAGACACATATGGGGACATTGAGACACTTGGGGACATTGAGACACTTGGGAACACTGGGTGACATGGGGACACTAGGGACACAATGTTTCAAAGTGTCTCAGTGTGCCCATGTCTCCTAGCCAGTGTCCCCATGTCTCCTAGTGTCTGTGTCCCTACTGTCTCAGTTTGTCCATGTCTCCCAGTGTCCCTAGTGTCTATGTGCCCATGTCTCCCAGTGTCCCTAGTGTCTCAGTGTCCCCATGTCTCCAAGTGTCTGTGTCCCCATGTCTCCCAGTGTTCCCATTGTGTCCTCTAGTGACATGGGGACACTGGGAGACATGGAAACACAGACACTAGGGGACACTGGGCAACATGTGGTCACAGAGACATGGGGACACTGGGAGACATGGGGCACTGAGACACTCATACATAGGAACACTGTAATACATAGTCTCAGTGTCCCCAAGTCTCCCAGTGTCCCCAAGTGTCTCAGTCTCCCCATGTGGCATGGGGACACAGACATTAGGGGACACGGACACTAGAGGACACAGACACTAGGGGACACCGACATGGGGACATTGGGAGACAGGAAGACACTGGGAGCAATCCATCTATACAGCAGAATCAAACTGTAAGCATGTTTTGGGTGAGTTTACAGAATTTTCACTTATGTCAGTCCTTGTGATTTACATCATGTGATGTAACGCATACATAATTAGTTATACAAATTCGTAAGGCCTGTATTTTTTTTCCCAAGAAAGGTGGCAACCCTAACTACTCTTCACATACTCTTGCTTAAGTATGGAAACTTAAGAGGGATATATGGAAACAAAACTTGTGTGGACTAACTGAAATTAAATTAGTTAAGGGAAACTGAGTTTTCTTATAGCTGCATGCTATGAGTTTCCCTCCGGCAACATCTCCACCAGATATATAACGCTTGATATGTATGACTGTTTTAGTGGTTTTGGTCGATAAGACCCTCATAATTGTCAGCACCAGTCCCACTAGGCTTTATCTGGCCCTGAATGTTTCTAAGAATTTATCAATTACCAATGAGATATGAATGGGGCAGTCTAAGCACCATAATCATTACATACTGTTGTAGAGGTTATAGGACTTGCAAGCCGTGGGTGCCTGCTTGCAGCCTACTACCACCATAATAACTAAGCATGGAGTAGTTATAGTACTTCTACTTCCCATTTCATGTTCCATATATTTTTCGAAAGTATTATAGACCTGCTTTATCAAACAATGGCAATAGGATTATTAATCCTTACCAGATGACATAGGTTACAACATACCTCGGCAAACATTTGTATATTTACTGTAAATATTATGGATATTATGGAAGCACCATATCTTTCCCTTGCTGTTTGAAAGGGGAAATTAAGGTGGTGGAGATACTTATTACTATTATTCTTTTTAGTTGCCATAATGCCATATCTCTCCAAATGAATGTTTTTTTTTTACCATAATCAGAGGGCCAGCTGAAACTTTGATTTCAGAAGCGTCCCTTTAAGCATTTACTTAAAACTAAACTTTAAATTATTTACCTTTTCAGCACCTGACATATAGTTAATGGGAATTGTTGAAATTCTATTTAATGACGACTTATCAATTGTTGAAATATGTTTTCTGGATCATTGCTTCCACTCAAAATATTAGTGTATTTATTGGGTACATTTGTTAAGAAAGTTCCTCTACACCGTCTGCCTCCCAGCATTTATCTGATTTCTTCATTAATAAAATCATTATGTTCTGAGCTGCTGTAAGTAACTGTATTAAATTCATTTAGAAGATAGTGTGCAATTATTTGTTGCTGTCATAGCTTATACAGCAAGAGCCTCATTTATGCAGGAAGCAAATAAGATTAATTTTTATGCAATGCATGTGATTCTTTTTTTGATTATTACATTTCATAGCTGATTTACTTTCATGTCAGCTGGAACAATATAAAAAATATCCATTGTAACTAGTGTGGAAGGTTTATAAAACAGGACTGTGTCAATAAGGCATATGCTAAAATGGGCTTGAATACAAAAACCGCATTTGACGCTCGCAGGGAGTATGCATCCTCTTTTCACGACGAGTCCCGTACATGGAGCGAGCCTCCGTAAGATGCAAGCACGGCAGATACCTTTTCACAAAAGGCACAATCCTAGACCAAACGTATACGTTCGCTAATGTGTACGCTCCGAACACTAAACAATATCACTTCCTACGCGATACATTGAACACTCTGATGAAATTCGCAGAGGGCACCTTGGTCATAGGCGGAGATCTCAATCTAGCGATCCATCCAGACCAGGACTCAACATCCCCGCATGGGAACACACCACACAACAGGCATGCCAACACCCTCCGCCTCCTACACCTCCACCAGCTCGCAGACTGCTGGCGGGCATTACACCCCTCCACCCGGGACTATACGTTCTACTCTACGACCCACTCGACCTATACAAGACTGGACTACTTCCTGGTACCCCACCACACCCTAACCCTGCTCACCACCGCGGAAATCTTACCTATGACATGGTCGGACCACAGCCCAATCCGCATACGACTGAAATCACCACTACATAAACCCAGACAAATGTCATGGCGACTGAACGAATCACTCCTATCAGACATCGCGGTTGTAGACCAGATCCATCAACGCATCCAGGTGTACTTTGAAGACAACGAAACGGGGGATGTTACCCCACTGACGTGCTGGGAAGCGCACAAAACGGTTATACGAGGACCTACTGTCCAAACGGAACCAACTTACCACACACCTGAACCGCGCAATCCAACGCTCATACCAACATTATAAACATGTGATCCATGAACACGGGGACAAATGCGGGAGACTGTTAGCGAATCTCCTGAAGCAACGCAGGAACCATCTATATATCCCGAAAATCAAGGACGCACAACAACAACTCAGACACTTACCGGAACAGATTTCGGCAGCATTCCATGCGTACTACCAAAACTTATACGGCCTCCGACACACCGCTCCGGAGATGCCAAGAACCCAAAAACTAGAGGACATTCGCAGATACCTGGATGCAGCTGATATACCGGGAATAGGGGAAGTAGACCAGGAAGCACTAGAAGCCCCCATAACCCCAGAGGAGCTAGCGCAAGCCATCAAAAAAGCAAAAACGGGCAGAGCACCAGGACCAGATGGCCTACCCCTCCAATATTATAAAACCTTTGCAGGGGACCTAATACCGAAACTCTTGGCGGCACTGAACTCGGCCCAGGACGGGGCCACACCAACGGCCCAATTCACCTCGGCGAACATTACCCTCCTTCCGAAGGAAGATAAGGACCGGACACTATGCCCAAGCTATCGCCCGATCTCTGTACTGAATACGGACCTCAAATTACTGGCGAGTGTACTGGCGGCACGCCTGGCACTGTTACTACCGGCCGTAATCCACCCGGACCAAACAGGTTTCATACCTGGCAGGGAGGTACGGGACAACACTATCAGAGCCCTGAACCTCATAGCACACGCGAAAGCGCAGAAGATCCCAGCCCTACTCCTGTCTACTGATGCTGAAAAAGCGTTCGATAGGGTGGACTGGGACCTGATGTTCGAAACTCTCCGCTCCCTCGGCATCGGGCCCAATTATATGACATGGGTGCAGACACTCTACACCAACCCAACGGCGCGCATCCGGATAAATGGCGCACTGACAGACCCGTTTCAGATCTACAACGGCACCAGGCAGGGATGCCCGCTCTCGCCCATACTCTTTGCACTGACACTGGAGCCCTTCCTCAACAAGATCAGACACAACGCAGACATCCGGGGACTGACAGTCAGAAACGTGCACCACAAAACGCTGGCGTACGCGGATGACATGTTGTTCGTGGTTACGGACCCGGAGACGTCCCTTCGAGCGATCCAGACGGAATTCGACGTGTATGGCAACATCTCGAACCTCCGAATTAACTACACAAAATCGGAGATACTAAACATAACTACCAGCCAAACCATCAAACGCGTGATTCAGGAACAACACTCCTACCGCTGGCGTGACCAACGCATGAAATATCTGGGAATATGGCTTACGCCCAATCCGGTAGACCTCTACACCCACAACTACCTCCCGATATTGAGAAAGGCAACGGAGGAACTACAACGATGGGGCTCCTACTACATCTCCTGGCTGGGCAGAGTGAACGCGGTGAAGATGACGCTACTGCCGAAACTACTCTTCATATTTCAAACGGTGCCGATAAAAGTCCCACGAACATTCTTCTCGACACTTAAGACGGAGGTCCGCACCTTTATTTGGAAGGGCAAATCCCCACGCATAGCGCACACCCAACTGATCTTACCCAAGCTCCGGGGGGGCTTAGCACTCCCAGACTTCGAAAAGTACTACCACGCAGCACACATCACCAGGGTCATCAGCTGGTCGATAGCCAGCGGCACCAAGCAGTGGCCACAACTAGAAGCTGGCATAACCAACTGCGACCTCAGAACCCTACCGTGGATCACCAAGGCAGCATATAGGAGCAAACGCATCACCAACCCATTCGTGGCGGCGACCATGCAAGTGTGGCATGGGCAAGGCACGAAACGATACCTCAACACGGACCCAGGCCCGCTCCTACCCCTGAAGGGTAACCCAGATTTTCCGGCTGGAGACTACGGCCCAACGCTGGGCCCAGCAAGACGCAATACGATACCCCGCATAAAAGACGTTCTCCACCAACCATTTGATATCCGGCCACTGGAAGAACTATACCCAGACAGGCCGCACACATTTGCCCACGCCCTAGCAAGAACGCAAATTACTCAATATGCTAGATCCATCCCGCAAAAACCTTCCCTACTGAGAGACTTAACGCAATTTGAACTTCTATGCACGCAGGACAGGGAACCTCCTCGTGCCATCTCACAAATCTACACTATCTTAATCACGAGCAGATATCTACTAGCACCCCCGTGCATCAGAAAATGGGAGGAGGACCTTGAGGAACCTATGACAGACGCGGACTGGGACAAGAGCATTATCCTAATACAAAAGACACCGAGCTCGGCACGCTCCCAAGAAAACTCGTACAAGATCTTTACTAGATGGTATCTGACGCCGACGGCGCTACACGCCAGAAACCAGGAACTCGAAGACACATGCTGGAGATGCGGGGAGGAAGCTGGTACGTTTATACATATATGGTGGACGTGCACTCGCATCAGACCGTTCTGGGACAGAATTAGGACAATCATACATGAGGTCACGGAGGAGCTCCTGCCACAGTCCCCAGCCGCCTTCCTCCTACACCACACCACCATGGCGACACAAACATACAAGAGATCGGCTATCCCTCGACTTCTGAATGCAGCTAAGGTGACCATCCCCATCTTCTGGAAACAGACCAGCACACCTCCCATAAAGAGGTGGATAGAGGAGGTGGAAGCCACGAGATCATTCGAGGACTTGAAAGCAGAAACCCCGAACCTCAGGGACCGATATACCAAACGCTGGTTCCACTGGATGAGACTGATCTCGTCAGATTCCTTCCGGCACCATTTAACCACACCGTAACTAGTGGCAGGAGGAAGGGACCCAGGGAGACACAGGAGGCGAAAAGATGACGACGGGGCACAACGGGCCGGGCGGGGGACAGGGGGCGGGACACAGGACACATGGCCCACCCGACCCGATCCCACACACAGACGCCACAGCGACTGCCACTGCTGACTAAGACAGCCACGACGCTCGCAGACATGACGGCATACACGTGCCACACACATAACCACCGGCCAGGCCGCAACCGCTCGAGGGATGGCTAGGTATACAGCCCTCGCATGAACAGATGACAGATAACACGCCGCACACTAGACCCACCACCTTGCCGCACCCTACCTCTGGACGAACAAGACATAGAATGACTACAAAATCAGATGACAGACCAGACAATGGAGTCACGAAGACAGAGGGCCAAAGGTGTCAGACACACCACTCGAAGTAACACACGATCATACATGCACGACACAGACACGAGAGACCACGAATCACATACACGCAGACCACGCCAACAGACCGCTCCACATCATCGGACACCACTGCAGGACATATACGAGACGTCAAATACGACAGCAGAGAACTCATACTCTGACGTTAGGACATGACAGAGTTGTTAACCTCGCGACATAGACACAAGTCGATGGACATTTAAGCCGGAGAGGAGGGGAAGACATAGCCGACACAACACTGAACGTAACCCAAGCAACACACATCACACATGCGACATGCACACAACGGAGGAGACGCAACGAATGACCCAACTCACGTGAACAACGCCAAAGGGCCGACACTAACTACAGCGGCTACAGTAACTGACCACCCCAAAAAGATACATTGCTCCATGCAACATAGTGAGGGACTACATCCTACACTAATATAGGTATAGGCAAACACATACAGAGAAACACCCTAAGGGTCGTTACAGACCTGTTCAAGCACTACCGTGTCGCTCACGGACAATACCTAACCACTACGCTTCTCCCCAAGATATACACCGATACAGCGACTATTTAAATGCAGTTACGCAACACTCAACCGGGTCTCGCAAAGGCAACAAGACGCCAGCTAGATACAAAATGTTGACTACAACCACAATGTTTAGGATGTAATAAGTTAGTGAGGTTGCCTGTACACCGCACTGTTATTAGAGCTGACACATAGTCTGTTCCCCCTACTCTATATGCTTACTCTAAAACGACATACAGACGCCTAGAGGGTAAATGCCTAAAAATGTTACTGTATTAAACGCTATACAACATCTGGTGGGTACACAAAGCCTCTGCGAAGGCCACAACCTGTGAACCTGTTCATGCAAATATAACCGGGCCTCCACGCAGGCACGGACCCGCCACTTTAACACTACGTTTGCAATGTACTATGCTAGGAATCTAACAACTAGATGCCACGGATAAGAATATATGGCACATAGCAAAGAAAGGTGAACAACAATGTCACGCTAAACGGCCCTCTGCGCAGGCAACCGAATGTTTCCACCGTTATAAATTGATGCTTAAGCCCCTGCGCGGGCAATCACTTGCTTCGTTATTTGACAAAACAGTTTGATACATGCATCCATGTTATGAATACAATAAAAATATTTAAAACAAAAACCGCATTTGGGCTTATATACTTTTATGTTATAAAAAAGTCAACTTTGGGTTGGCTATTTACTTTTTTTAAAATTTTTGTTATATATATATACACATGTGCTATGTTTTTGTTTTCACTTCATCTTATTGTTTTACAGAGCAATAATTAGTCTGCAGTCTGAAAAGGCTGAAGAAGTATATTAAATGAAATTGAACCAGGCTATAGTGAGCGCTCAGATCCAAGCTATCTGGGGATAGGTCAAATGTGGAGGTTCAGTTCTTTAGAATATTAGTTATGTATTTTAATGTGTTTTGTTGCAGTTGTGACTTAGTGATATTTTCTGTGCCTGGAGATAATTGAGTTTACTACAGTTACTTAAGCCAATTATCTCCAGGATAGATCGACTGGAGGAGAAGATCGACCGGCTGCACAGCCTGAATCCGTGGAACAGTTTTGGGCAGGAAAGCCATGCTTGCAGTCGGTCAAAAAGGACTTCCACCTAACTTTTAAACCACTGAATTGTCAGATTTTTTGAGTATGTTTGCATTTAGAGTATGCTGATTTAGAATATGTAACTTTTATTAATATTGCATGTATACTTTTAAAGTTATAAGAATTGTATAACAACTGTATTTTCCTGCCTGTGATAATTACATTAGCCCATTGTGTACAGTAATTCTATCACAGGCGAGAGGAGAATTTTGCTGGAATGAATAGGAGTGTTAAACTGTATTGTAATGTTTTGATTGGTTGTTCCCAAGACCACATGGGTGGTAACCTTGTGGGAAAAGTTGCATATAAGTACCAATAAACCCTCAGACTGCTGAGTTCCTGTTTTACCCTCAACATAGATCCTCATCTCATGACATCTTAGACAACATTCCGTCACTAACACATTTGACCATTAGGTGGAGCAGTACTCAGGAGTATACTGGCAGCAATGCTGGAAGGGGTATATGGGTCTGGACAACAAATATGTAAGTACGTTGGTGGTTGCATTGGGAAACCATGTCCCACAATCCCATGAACATGCTTATGTCATGTATGTCCTGATATCACACATCAAATACCAGGAAGCTGAACAGTCCATAAACATTGAAACACACAATTATATCAAGGCATATTTGTTGCATCATTATTTTTTTTATTTTTTTTCCTCTCAGGTTTAGAGTTTAGAATCTAGTGCCACACCATGTAATTAGCCCAAGTTAACGAACTGTAACCACAAGTAGTGCATACACATTGCAAGCATCAACACAGAGTATTTCAGTATGTAAACACAGAGAAACGTAACGTCAATAACACTAGCCAAGGCCAGAAATAAAAAAAAAGAGGGTTCCTTACAAACTACAACAGATTTACACAGTGTTGTATAACAGGGCTGTTAGAAACTATGATAGGTATGGAGTTAGGGTTCATTTCATATAGTGAAGATGGTCATTTAATGGTGCCAATAAAGTCAGTGTGCTAAATTATTATTTGAGAGAATACCTAGTTAGCGGGCAGTGGGTGGGACGCAGTCAGAAGGGAGTTCTGGAACTGGAATCCTTACAAACTCAAGCCCTGTTTCACTGCTGCCAGATGCCTCGCACTATGCTTCCTCTATATCACCCTTCCAAATTAAATGAGACCTTGTTTCTTTTCTGACAGAATATATTGAAAGGTTTTTGTTTTTTTCATCTTCTTCATTTGGTTCAAATTACATCCTATCTTTAACACTAGCAGTATATGAAAATATGGGTATGTTTTTCTAATTGACTTCTAGTTGCAAGACTTAGTCAATATGATCTATTCATGCGGATCTAGTTTGAAATGAAGTACGTAAATAGGAACAGATACATGTGGATATGCTTGCAATACATTATTTTAAAGGGATACCCCATGCATTTTAACCTCTACAGCTTATTAAACGCATATTGTAGTGGTTACGGTGATAAATCTCTGCACATTTATAATTCCCTTGCATTTACTTTATTTTCTTGGTAAATTGTGGTACTGAAACACCATTACCATCCCACAGAGTGAGCATACACAGACTGTTTGCTGCATTCAAATCCATGCCATCCAGTTGCAGGAGCTGCTCCCAGTGCATAGAACTTTAAGAAGGCCAACAGACTGCTTGGAGAATCCCTTTAACTCATCAGCAGTTGGCTCTGTCTAAAATATGCTGTCTATTTTCTTGGATTTGTGTCTTCAATATAAAAAAGTTTTTAAAAAAATACAATTGCGTTTGATTATAAAATGGCATATTCAAACCCTGTGCCAGATTTCTCATAAGGCCTCTGGGAGAAGGAGAATACCGACCTGATTGTTCTCATTCTTGGTGGGCCGTTGAGCTGCTGCTCCAATCAGAGGAGAGAGGGTGGGGCTATTCATCACTGTCATAACCCCCACACGACATCCTCCGTGCATGCAGGGGGGGCCGAGGGGGTCAAAAGAGGACTTCCAGCACAGAAGGCCTTCAGCCAATAGCAACTACCCTCCCCTACACTTCTCTACTTTGCCCTGCCCTTTTCACCCTTCAGTCAAGCTTGGGGCCATGGCCAGCCAACAGCCAGCCCAGCAAGGGACCTGCCAGGCATGCAGCAGCCTGCCGTTCCAGCCCAGGGGCCAATCACCTGTGCCCACCAAAGTCATTGTGTGTGTGTCTGCATGGGTCAGTGCGAGTGTGTGTCTGTGTCTGAATGGGTCAGCATCTGCATGGGTCAGTGAGAGTGTGTGTCTGCATGGGTGAGTGTGTGTCTCTGTCTGCATGGGTTAGTTAGTGTCTGCATGGGTCTTCACAAAGGCCAAAGTTTTCATTAAAAAAAATCAATCCTTGTACATTGTGCAAGAGTATCCAGCATTACCTGAAAATTTTCTCCACGGTGAAGCTCTGTTGATCGATATTCAGGTGAATCAATGTAGGAATTTGGGTAAATGTCATGAAGAAAGTGACCCCGATACGAAACCTTCATTCTAAGATTATTCATATGAATACAGAAGACATTCAGGTGAATTTTATTTAGTAAATTTATCCTAGTTAAAATATTTTAAAGGAAATAAAAGTATTACCTCTGTTTATGTCATAAATTATTACAGTTCCAGTTTATGAAAAGCTACATACCAATACATTATATCGTTCAACTGAAGAGATCAAACTACCACACCTCACACAATTAATGTGGAACCTGGTAATATATGGTGGTCATACTATGTATCTGCCATCAATATTGTGTCTCATATGATAAAATATTTATTGAAACGGAACCTGTCAGGCACTTAACTGACCCTCCGCTCCCCTGCCATAATCCTTACAGAGGTAGGTATTACATTCCTGTAACATCCACCTCTGGTCTGCTTGTACTGATCCCACAGTCTTCACTGATTTGCCCTGCTTGGGGAAGCTTCAACCTTCTCCTTGATGCCGACATGCTGGCTTAGATGCCAGCATGCTGATGTCTGAATGGAGCAATGTCAGTCATTCTGTTCCTGTACTCCCCAAAGAGCACTAGGTAATAATAGCTAAGGAGTTACCGTAGCAAGCACAGCACATGTGCTGTGGTTTCTATGGGTGAAGAGCAGAGTGACCACCTGTGGAAGGACCCTTCTGCTCTAACTGCCAATTAATGATTCAACATAGAGTCTACGCCACAGAACTTATTGGCAGGTAAGGAAAAAAAAACTATTTTAAAATAGGTTTTTATCTCAATCTATACATTTGCTAGCAAAACTACTAGCGCAATATATATAGCTAAAATGTAACGCTCTTACAAAGAGTATGAGTAGTTTAGGGAGTGACAGGTTCCCTTTAAAGAGGATGTCAAGAGAGCAGTCCAGGGATTCCTATGTGACTAACTACATCATGTGTCTGGAGCCATGGGCGTCCGCAGGGGGGATTTTTCAGCTTGTTCTGCTATTTTTCGTGTGATTGAAAATGAACTGCAATACCGGCGCCGACCAGTATGGAGAGAGACAGGGATAGGAAGCTGCATCTTATCCCTGCATCTCTCTGCTGATTGAAACCGCAGGGGAACAACACATGCAGCCAGAGACAGCCTACAGATCAGGTAAGTGAGGGATGGGGGAGGGTTTGAGATAGCCTATAGATTTGGGGGGGCAGCAGCCTATAGATTTGGGGGCAGCAGCCTATAGATTTGGGGGGGCAGCAGCCTATAATTTGGGCAGCAGCCTGTAAATTAGAGTGAGGGATGGGGGAGGGTTTGAGATAGCCTATAAATTTTGGGGGCAGCAGCCTAGATTTGGGGGCAGCAGCCTATAGATTAGGAGAGTGAGTGATGGGGGGGGGGCAGCAGCCTAGAGCTTAGGGGAGTGAGGCTGGGGGGGCAGCAGCCTAGAGATTAGGGGAGTGAGCATAGGCGTGCGCAGCCTATTGCATTAGGGTGTGCACCCTAAAGCACAAACACGCCATGTGTATATGTATATGTATGTGTGTGTGTGTATATATATATATATATATATATATATATACACACTGCTGTGTGAGGGTGCTGGTAGTGTGCTATGTGGGTGAGGGTGTTTTTGTGTGTGTTTGTGAGAGTGCTGTTAGTGTGCTCTGTGTGAGGGTGCTGTTTGTGTGCTGTGTGTGTGTGTGTGTGTGTGTGAGAGAGGGTGTTTGTGTGTGCGTGTTTGTTCGGGTCCTGTTAGTGTGCTGTATGTGTCTGAGTGTGCTGTTTGTGTGTGGGTTTTGTGGGTTTGTGAGGATGCTGTTAGTGTACTGGGTGTGTGTGGGTGCTGTGTGTGCGAGGGTGATGTATGTGTGTGGGTGCTGTTTGTGTGCTGTGTGTGCTGTGTGTGTGTGTGTGCAGGTGCTGTGTGTGTGTGTGTGCTGTATGTTTGGGTGGAGGTGGGGGCAGATTAGTTAATATCCCAGTCCTGCTGCCTTTCCTGGTGGTTCAGTGGAGAGTGAACTCTAACCCGGGTTCTCTGCTGCCTCCCTCCATGCTGCTGTGGACCGGTGAGGTAGAACTTTGATCTCCCCACCGGCCCATGGAGGCTTAGACCAGAGCCGCCGCTCGGATAGCGTCGGCTCTGCATGAGCCGACTAGGGAGATCCAGAGATCTCCCCTGCCGGTCTCAATCCATTGGCGTGCCGCGGGGATTAGGGTGTGCCCATGCACACCCGACATACCCCGTGCACACGCCTTTGGAAGTGAGGGATGGGGGAGACAGCCTACATGAAGAGTCAGCAAGGAGCAGGAAGGTAAAGTAAGAAAAGGAGAAGGAACAGAAATGAGCAGGAAGGGACATCAAGGAGCAGAAAGGGGCAGCAAGGAGCACAAAAGGTAAAGTAGGAGAAGGAGCAGAAAGGAACAGAAATGAACAGGAAGGAACAGTCAGCAAGGAGCTGGAAGGTAAAGCAGCACAAAGGTAAAGTAGAAGGAGCAGAAAGGGTCAGAAATGAGCTGGAAGGGGCAGAAGGAGCACAAAGGTAAAATAGGAGAATGAGCAGGAAGGGCCTGCAAAGAGCAGGAAGGGCCTGCAAAGAGCAGGAAGGGCCTGCAAGGAGCAGGAAGGAGCACAAAGGTAAAGGAGCAGAAAGAATCAGAAGGAGCACAAAGGTAAAGTAGGAGAAGGAGCAGAAAGGGACAGCAAGGAGCACAAATATAAAGTAGAAAAGGGAGCAGAAAGGGTCTGCAAGGAGCAGAAAGGGATCAGAATGAGAAAGGAGCAGAAGGGCGCAAAATAAGCAGAAAGTAGCAGAAAGGTAAAAGAGCAGAAGGGGCCAAGGATAGAAAACAGAGTCAGAAGATAAAAAAAGACAAATGAAGGAGAGGAAAAGGAGATTGGAGCAGGAAGGACAAATGAAGTGAACCCTCCACTTTATTCTGGACACCACATCATAAGGCTTTGGTACCTGGGCCAGGCAGGGAAACGCTGGACCTTCTCATCTCCAAAGGTAAATAAATATCAGCATTAATGTGTTCACTTTTATTTACTGAGTGTCAGGAAGCACAGAGTGCTGTTGGGTAGGGGTGTTGCTGATTGGCTAGAGCGGTCAGCTGGCACTCTAAGCCAATCAGTAGCTCCCCATTCAAAAGTAAAAATATTTTATGAACCGGGAACTAGCGATTGGCTTAGAGTGTCAACTGTCCACTCTAGCCAATCAGCGGCACCCATGCCTGACATCAATCTGCACTTCCTGACACTCTGTTTCAGAAGCCAAATACCACTGAGCGACCTGGAGCTGGAGGAAGCCTTTGGGGTTAAACCATTTGAGAGTGATTTAACCCCTTAAAGGAAAGCGAGCACCCAGGGGCTTCCTGGCATCATAGTATTTTCATTTAGGTGAAGTTGTTATGGTGACCAGAATGGTCCTTTAATTTGCTTAAAGGAACACTATAGTGTCAGGAATACAAACATATATTCCTGAAACCATAGTTGTGAAAACGCTATTCACCCTGGCTTTATGTGATAATGGCTATGCCCCTTCCCTTTCATGACACTGTCAAAAAGGTACCAAGCATGGATGTCATTACAATTATGCCCCCCCCCCCTGGAAAAATTCCTGCAGACGCCCATGTCTGGAGCTCAAACTAAATAGAGGGGAGCAGTGGGAGCTATGTGTAATTCACAAGTAGCAGATGGAGCTTTGTTTCTTATACTTAAAGCAGTGGGAGCTATGTTAATTGTAAGTCATCCAGGTATCCAATTCCATCGCTACCATTCTTTATGTGATACATTTTTCATATGAATCTAGTATTCAATTAATATCAATTTTTTTTAAAAAACAGCCTTTTATTGGCACAATGCATATTGTTCTTATCAGAATTATCATAACGATTTTTTTTCCCGGGGTTCCATACCTTCAATGCTCACTCCACTGCCCAAATACAAAATACATTTTAAAAATCACTATTTAGTAGATATGAAAAGCTTGCATTTAATTATACTTTTTTTTTTTAATGGTGTCAATCTAAATCTTGTCTGGTTACAACTACATGTTTGTTCATCCACCCACTGTAAAGCGCTGCAGAATTTGTTGGCGCTATATAAATAAGAGACTATTAAAAAGAAAAACAAGCAAAAGAGGCGCTAAAAGTGTAAAATTTGTGAACAATGAAAACAACTTGATAAATAAAGCAGCACCTGAAAGTGTACAAGCTCAAAAACACCCTAACCAATCAAAATACAAAAAAAGGTGCACTATACCTTTAAAAATATAAAGTGCAAACAAGTGCATCAAAAGTGTCCAGTGCATGTAAACACACTAAATATAATACACAATATGTCAAAAATAGCAAGTGAATATTGTGAAAAAATAATTACCAAATAAATAATAACTTACAAGAAATAATATCCTTTGGTACTCCAAATGGGTTTAAAGCATATAAAAAAAGCACAAAGGAAAAAACATAGTGTAATACTGTTAAAAGAATAATTGGAATAAATTGAAGAATTGGAATAAAACTCACAAACGAAGAGCATCTTTTGATCAAGCTGGCCTCCTGCTGTTTTCATCACCATTTAAGTCCTGGGTTGTGGATTACGAGCTGGATAAATTAGAGCAGGCTTTCACTCTTCTTCGTTTGTGAGTTTTATTCCAATTCTTTTGGTTTTAATATTTATTCTCTTAACAATATTACACTATGTTTTTTCCTTTGTGCTTTTTTTATATGTACCATATGCTTTAAACCCATTTGGAGTACCAAAGGATATTATTTCTTGTAAGTTATTAATTTGTTAATTATTTTTTCATTTGTATTATATTTAGTGTGTTTACTTGCTGTGTATGCACTTTTTCTGCACTGGACACTTTTGATGCACTTGTTTGCACTTTATATTTTTAAAGGTATAGCGCACCTTTTTTGTATTTTAGCTATATAAATAATAACATAATAATAATAATAATAATAATAATAAATCTGGCTTACAAAACCTGCAGTTCTCTTGTCTGCTGCCTTTGCAAGCCCTCCTCTTCTAAACCTGCACAGACTTTCTGTGGCTGTCCAATCACAGACTTCCTAGTGCAGCTCAATGAGAAGTCTTTGCAAGGTGGGTGCTTGGTAAATTGCTGTCTCTTGAGTTTAGCTTCACTGATCTAACCAAACCAGGAAGTAACAGGACATGTTGTCTGATTGACAACCTTGGGGTGTAAAAAGGTAATTTTATAAAAGTACAAATTTCTATTGAAATCTGCACTTTTGTAAAATGAAAAAGAGAGCAAGTTAAGTGCTTTAGGTGTGTGAGTGCTCCTTTGATGTTGATTATTCATGTGTACTTTAATTTTGATTACTTACAAGGCTGATGTAAAATAACTTGAATGAACATTATATGTTGTCTTACACCAAATATAAAACAGTCCTATCAGGATTTAAAAGTAAGAAAATGGTAGCTTGACTATAATTTGTATAATCCAGAATGTGTGTACTAACTTTCAAATAATTGCCATTTCTCCTGTTATATTACCTTCCTTTGAGTAAGATGCTTAAACGGTCATCAACCGATGTTTTGTTCTCCACAGCATACGTCTGACCCTTCAATAAAGTCTGAATACTACAAAACTGCCCAGTGAGCCTCTTAAACAACTCAGGAGGAACATGTAAAGGCTCAAACATCCTGTGATAAATTCCTTTTAACTCCTTTTCTATTTTAATCTGGAATAAAAATAAGAGATCCAGAGCAGAAAAAATAAGTTCATAAATATTTCATTATAAAAAATACAACATGATATAATTATATACCAGAATTATTAAAAAAAATTATGCTAGATGTATAATTTGTTTTATTATTTTATCTTTAAATTATAATTGTTCGACACCTAGTGATTTTAAGATAAGAAGAAGAAAGAACATTTTATGTCATTTGCTAATACAAGCAGGTCTTGTTAAATCCTTATTTTATCAGCCTTGGATACACATTTTGATTTGTAATTTCCATTTGGAGGAATGGAATACTGCAATTGCCACTAAATCTTTCAGTGGTTTAGAAAGTAGATATGTTCCCTATTTTGGTAACCTTATGTGGGATAGCCATATTAAAGGATACCAAATTAGGTAGCGACATTAGAAGGCAGCTCCCAATTTGGGTATTCTTAAAAAGGCAATCCCTCATAAAGACACCAAACTAGTGAGCTATCTACCAAGCAGCTGAAATGTCAAAAGAAAAAAAAGCTTTTCTTTGACCTTACAACTGTTTAGTAGATAACTCCCTGAATACATTTAGTACCTGTTACAAACTGCCTTTTGTAACTGGTTCTCTATGTGACAAATACTGGGAAGTATTGCCATTTAAAAAGTCTGTTTTGGCTTATTAGATTTTGGGACACTTTTTCTGCCCCTTTGAATCCATGGGAAGGTGTGCCTCTTCCCCTCCCCGTTTCCTGTCCCATTGTTCTCCAGCAGGGTGTTGTCCCAGGGACACTGCAAGACCAGTTGGAACTGGCCTCCTCGGTCTCTCATCAGCCATCAGGCCTTGCTATGGTTTAACCCCATGGAGATTTGACTGTGTTCTTGGTATCTGAGCGCTGTTCGGCTATAGTGAGCGCCCAGATCCAAGCTATCTGGGGATAGGTCAAATGTGGGGGTTCAGTTCTTTAGAATATTAGTTATGTATTTTAATGTGTTTTGTTGCAGTTGTGACTTAGTGATATTTTCTGTACCTGGAGATAATTGAGTTTACTACAGTTACTTAAGCCAATTATCTCCAGGATAGATCGACCGGAGGAGAAGATCGACCGGCTGCACAGCCTTAATCCGTGGAACTGTTTTGGGCAGGAAAGCCATGCTTGCAGTCGGTCAAAAAGGACATCCACCTAACTTTTAAACCACTGGAGGGAATTGTCTGATTTTTTGAGTATATTTGCATTTGGAGTATGCTGATTTAGAATATAAGCATTAATATTGCATGTATACTTTTAAAGTTATAAGAATTGTATAACAACTGTATTTTCCTGCCTGTGATAATTACATTAGCCCATTGTGTACAGTAATTCTATCACAGGCGAGAGGAGGATTTTGCTGGAATGAATGGGAGTGTTAAACTGTATTGTAATGTTTTGATTGGTTGTTCCACAAGACCACGTGGGTGGTATCCTTGTGGGAAAAGTTGCATATAAGTGCCAATAAACCCTCAGACTGCTGAGTTCCTGTTTTACCCTCAACATAGAGCCTCATTTCATGTGTGGGGGAAAAGGCAGCATTTACACTGGGGATTGCTGTACACTGTATACTCCCTTGGATATAATCACTAAGCTCTTTTAAGAGCTTGTTCCAGATTCACTCTCTGCAGGAAGAGAGGTTCGGTCGGCAGTGCTTATAGTGTCTGGAGAAGTGCTTGGAGTCCTCGGGAAGCACTAGGAGCATCCATCAACAGAGGTACTCGGTTGGAGTACTAGAGCTCCTTTACAGTACCGTTATCTGTGATTACCATATTTAAAGGTACCAAATTAGGGAGCTGTATAGCAGATAGCTCCCTTATTTAGTATAGACTAAAACCAACAGCTCCCTAGTTTGCAGTGATACCCTTAAATATGGGTTGGTATTCCCAAATAAGGATACTAATTTTAGAAAGTGACATGAATGAACTAATGCAATGGATCCCAAACTTTTTAGGTTCAAGGCCCCCTTAATATTTCAATATTTCTCCAAGGTGCCCTAAGTCAAAACAATTTTCTAGGTTGTATATATGTACAGCGAAGTGGCATATCCTGATGTTTTTTTGCAGTAAGAAATGGAGTATGAATATTCCTTTAAGAAAACAGAGTTCTATATTTATTATCAGGAAAAGCCATGCCAATTGAATCTGATATTAAGTACGGAGACATATACAAAATTAATTACATGAATTCTTTGAACTCAGATGCTAAAGGAAGCACATAGCTTGCCTTTAACCTATGAGCTACATGATTTGAAAACAAATGGATTAACTGAGCTAATAGACCTCTTTAGAAAACTGTGACCACATTAATCAAAACAGACAATATCACATTTGCATGCCTGGCCAATACTTCAATGCATAGTGCATGCTACTCAATACTTAATCAGCCTCTAAATATGCCTTTTAGCATCTTAGAAATTCTACTTTCTACAAAATATATAAATAATTATTCAAAGCTTACAATTTAGAGCGTTGAAATGCTGTATATTTATTAAACTATGAATTTTGATAAACTAAAAGCCTATTTGCAAAATTTGGCCTTTAATAACCATGCTTGCAAGTTGATGACTAGGAGACTAAATTAAGGACAACATAAATTCAAGCTTTCGGGTCATCACAGATGATTGTCTAGCGAATAAATCCCACTCTCACACCAGTTGTAGTTAAAAAAAAATAAAAATAAGTACTTACAGGTCTCTTTTTATATACCAGGTAAATAAAATGCATAAAGTTAATAATAAGGAAGGTCACATTCCACATCATTATGTCCAAAGCACATCGGAAAAGCACGGCCCATAAAATGAAGAAGGAACACCCTAAATAAAAAGAAACAAAATAATAATATAGATTAGGTAATTTACATCATATTAAAGGGACACTAAAGTCACCTAGACCACTTCATCTCAATGAAAGGGTCTGGGAGCAGTGGTCCTGTCATTTTAACCCTAACATCTACCTGTGGCTGTCTTACTATCTTACTGATAGCAGCATTTGATTGAAGAATCACGGCATTTGGCTATAGATGGCTATAGATGTGAACCTCCAATCAATTGCTTCTCTATGAGAAGCAATAGATAGGAGTACATTGCAAAGGCGTCAACAGGTTTACTGGCGTCTTCGAAGGTGGAGGAGGAAGCTGCAGCACAGGAGTCCCGGCACTGGAAAGTAGGTAAGTAGTCTTTATATAACTTACTTTTTTTTTTTTAAACACAGAGTGGTGGACAGAAGGGGGGTGCAGAGTAGTGAACCTATTGTCTCAAAATAATGCTTGTTATTTTCAGGACTATTTGTTCCCTTTATGGATATTAAGATTTTTGGCCAAGTGGAGTAAGCATCTTGAAACCCCAGTTTTGCCAGTTTGTCAGTTTGTTGTAATGCCACATGCTACAGACATGTTTCCTAATCTTGTCTTCATAATATACACATTGCCATACCTTGGAAAGTTGTAAATAGCTGGTGAGACAGATTTAATATGAAGTCAATCTTGCACTGTGTGACCATAAAAATGCCAATAACCACCCTGAACTTGGAGTAGAAACCTCCGAATTAGTTGTCAGGTATATAGATGACGTTATCAGGAGATGCATATGGTTTCATACTCCAAGCAGTGGTAATGAGAAAATGACTCACGCGTATCCTAGAAGCATTTTGAAACATTTAAATGCCCAATTATTACTATCTAGCATGAATACTTATGAGATGTAATAATGCAATTTGGTCGAAAGCCCTTTCAGACAGTGGCCATTGAAATATGTATACATACAATTTTAAATGTTTTTACATTTATAAAATGCCATTATTATCCGGTACATTTTTAGGCCTGATGATAATGGTACGTATTTCCGCAGAAATGAGAAGGATAGAAAATTATAAAGTTACACAGTTACAATATACAATGAAAAAGACTTTAAAATGCTCAGATGAACAATGAGAGGCAGGAAATGATAGAGAAAAAAACTGTAAAATTTAGGAAAATTAATATGTGCTTTAAGGCTTACAAAGCAGAAGAGACATTTTGTTCTAGTCTTTCTGCACTGACACTTACTATCTGTCTGCGCATGTAAATGGCACAATAAAGTAATTTCTGCTATGAATTTGACAGCCTTACAACTCAGAACTTTTCCTCATAATTAATGATGCTTCACCTTTAAATAAAAAAATAATAATAATAACCTTGCTGAGGATATGTGAATGACTTGCTGAAAATGCGTTATTACTGTCAAGCAGACTTTATAATAAATACCCAGAAAGAGACGCTAATTTAAAAATATCTCAATAAACCAACATTTAAAAACTACAAGTCTTTGTGGGAAAGAGGCTAGGGCAGATGAAAAAAATAAAAATAAAATAGAATAATGTACTTATTAATGATTTTATATAAAGAGGCTTGATCGATTTATCCTGGCTTCACTCAATATGCCATTAAATGATGTTATAATAGCCAGATAAAGTTCATTGAAAATATCAATTAATGGTATGCCCTTTAATCAACATTGACAGTCACTTGTAGGTGTCAGACGTCTAATCATCAATACAGAAATATGTCACCTGTAAATGGATGTTTGATCTATGGCTCACATTGTCCACGCTACCTACAAAGCCACAAATCGTGTGTCAAGCCATGACATTTATTCCAGCAGATATTAAACCCCTGATCTATTTATATTTCTTATAATCTGAAAAGATGAGATGCATAATGTCACTGCTCAGACATCAAAGTTACTGACATATTTAATTATCTGAAGAAAGATAATCTGTATTTAATCTCTTTTGGTGTAAACTGAGTGATGGAAAGCAATTTTTACACTCATTTATACATCCACATTCATAAACCTATACATATATATAAAAAACATTAAAAAATTAGATTTCTTTCCTGTGAATGATTTCTACTAACATGAGGACATTTCTCTAATTCAATCTAGGATTATTCATAGACGTGATATACTTTTTGGTGTAAGAACATACAGCAATTGAATCCCATTTTCTAATTTTCCAGTTAGATGATGGGTGTTTATCATTATAAATAAACGTATAGTGCTTACTGATTGGCTAGTATCAGGTGGCGTTTCAAGGCACTCCCTACATTTACTTATCCCCTATATTTAACAAATATGCATTTTTGACGTGCGAAAAATGTTTAATGTGAAGATCTACACCTCTTTATTTTGCATCTGGGTGCCTCCAAGTTAGCTCCTTGTAAAGCAGTATAAGCACTGATATTTGCATCTGGTAGTTAGTTCCTGAGTTAACTATAATCTAATCAGTGAAACAACTATAAAAAAAAAATAACTATTGATTAAAGACAATTTGAAAACACAGGAATCATGTTAGAAAAGTAAGTAATACTACTGCCGCAGCTCCAAACTCTAGGAGTTATTGGATTAAAAAAAGAAATGCACTTACTTCTTGCTCCCGGTGCTGGTCCTAGTGTTCCATAGTCACGAATTTCCAGAAAAAAATCAAAGTGGACTGCACTTTGAGAAACAGACAGCTTCAGTAATGCAAATCCTTCAATGTACAGGTTTAGTCAAAGGTAAGGCAACATAATTGGAGACTCAGTAAACCTCATACAGAATAATAGATCAACACAAGTAAAAATGTATCACCCATAGTGCATTTAAAATATGTCTTTTAAATGCACTATGGGTGGTCCATTTTACTTGTGTTAATAATGAGTCGGTCTTGGATGCAAAATGCGTTCAGTGTCCTGCTACTTTTACCTAGATTTTGTCATTTGTTCCCCTTGTTCGTGCAGGTATTTGTTGGTTTTTTTTGTTTGTTTTTTGTTATCATTTTGTGCACACTTTTTAGATTTTTTTTTGTTCATTCACTTGTTGATCTATTATTCTGTATGAGGTTTACTGAGACTCCAATTATTTTGCATTATGTTTGAATATACCAGTGTTTTGAAGGATTTGCATCACTGAAGCAGTTGGTTTATTGAAAGTGCGGTCCGCTTTGTTTTTCTTCTGGCAATTCAGAAATCATATTATCCTTTTTTATATCAGATCATTTTAACAAGACAGTGACATGTTGGGAACTGTAACAATGCAACTTTCACTCCACTGTCAAATTGTTAGACCACTCTACATGTTGTCAATGGCCACTACGTAAACATTTTAATAGTTTTTTCCTCTTTATTTTCCAAGGATGCATTTCTACTGCATTACTGATTTATTGCCATCACGCATGACCACCTTATGTTTATGTGAGCAATGAGTAGGAATTTCATAATCTCAATATGGTTTGAATCACCTAACATCTACTTGGTGAACACACATTGTGGAGACATAACCAACTGCAAAGACACGCCAATATTTCTATATTAGAGGCTCACAGATCCATGTAAAAGCACCAGAATGGAGAAAATTTAGCCCATACAAGATAATTAGTGAAAGCAGATAAGAACAATGTTGATACATATCTAGAATTCAATTGTTATTTAACCACAATAGATAAATACATAAAAAATAGGAAGATGTGGGGGGTTTATGTCGTACATATATGCATTGGGACTAAATTCTATTAGGCAAGATATACATATATGCTGCTTACCCCCAAGTTAAAAGTTAACTGTATCTGTGTTAATAGAATTAGTCCCATTAAATATGTACTATCAATTTGGCAATTTTGACATAAATCTCATCTAGTTACTGTTTTATTAAAAAAAATAAAAAGAATATAAACTCTGCATTTCATATTCTTTTTTTAAAATTATATTCAAAAGTATGTTTTGGGTTTTGTTTCGTGAGCTTAGCTACAAAGCCTGCACTGATCTCGTCTCTCTACGCGTGTCTTACAATATGAGATCATAAAATGCTAAGTCACATTCTTAGTTCACTTCTTAAGTAAAGTTACATAAAATTATGTAATTTGACTTTTTAACAACTACACTAATGTCTTAGTAGGGTTTCTATTATCCTATTGAAATGGAGAACTATTTTTAAAAAAAACTAGTGTTAACATAATGTTAAGTGAAATACTTGACTGTTTTTATTGCCTTAAACATAGTTTGGCTATTCTAGTAAAACTATGAGAAAGATAGATATGACTTATAGTTCATATGGTTAGAAAATAATAATACACAAGACGTTAATAGTTATCCCAGGACACTTATTAAATCCCTTGTAATTTGGTATCCTGTATGGAAGATCTTATCCCTTGAGTGGGGTTTGCACCCATATATGCTGGGAGTACTGAGAAAAGAGACTGGTTCATTCTAAAATCCAGTTATTGGAGATTATATGAAAACCAGAGACTCCAGCAGGCAGGTTTCCTGTAGATTATTATTTTATTATTTATATAGCGCCATCAGATTCCGTAGCGCTGTACAATGGGTGGACTAACAGACATGTAATTGTAACCAGACAAATGGACGTACAGGAACAGAGAGGTGGAATACATGAAATACATGTTAACTATCAAAAAACTAATAAAAACACATAGGATTCAATAGCTTACCTAGACACAGCATGCCGCGAAAAAAAATCATATGAAAATTAAGAGTAGTTGGAATTACCACTCCGATCGCTAAACATGCGTTTGCAAGATGGAAAACCAAGTGGTGTATTTCTCTCCAATTTTCACACACTTCTTCCTGTACGGTATCATTATACATATCATTATACATATTGGTAGTAAAATTCACCGGCAGCACGGTGCTTGTCATATTTGAGAAATCCATTCTTACGAATCCTGTACATAGAGAAAAATAAATGTTTTAGATTGTTATTTAACCATCCCATTGCTTTGTAGAGGCAGAGTGTTATGCAAGTAAAGTAGAATTATGTCAAGAGGTACTTTTGGTCATTGTGCCTTTTACATTACAGGCTGTTTGAGTAGCACTGAACACATTGTTAAGACAGTTTAATCAAACCTACGGACCAATCATCACATATTACAGCTAGATATGTCACTGATTATACTTCACTCTTGTGATTACGAATATCTAAAAAATATATAACCAATCCTTTTTCATGTCATTACAAATTTATGGACATACTTATAAACAAATGAGTGCTTTCAGTTTACATTCTGATATAACAAAAACTATCTAAAATTCATTTTAGTCAAAAGTAAACTCTCACGCAAACCCCCTCTACATTAATCATCGAAGGACAAAAGGTTCTACAGTTTGTAAAAACCTTATTTATATATTTACTATTTAACTCCCCACAGACACATTTTCTTTTGTTTTTCTGATTTCTACACTGGTTATAAAACAAACAGAAAAATTGTTTCAAGAGATACAACATGCGGCCAGTCAGGAAGAGTTTTTGAAATGCCCATGGGATAATTTCATGAAATACTGACTAACAGTTACATTTTTAAATGTTTTATTGATTCGCACAACCTTTTTATAGACACAATAACTATATTCCTATTTCATGAATTAATTACCGTACATACTCGAGTTTAAGTCAAGTTTTTCGGCACATTTTTTGTGCTGAAAAACCCCCACTCGACTTATACTCGAGTCAATGTCTTACGTTGCCATAATACAGACCAGGACCGCCGGGCTCATTACAAGCCCGTCTGTCCTGTTGGGGGCTGGCAGCGAGCTGTAACTTACCTTTCCTACAGCTCCTGTCAGCTCCCTTCTCCTCCTCTCCGTTCAGCTCCAGTGTAAGTCTCGCGAAAGCCACGGCCGTCAGAGCGTTACAGTGGAGCTGAACGGAGTGGAGGAGAAGGGAGCTGACAGGAGCTGCTGTAAAGGTAAGTTACAGCTCGCTGCCAGCCCCCCTCCTGCACAGTACACACCACTGGACCACCACGGACTGCTATATCCCCCCTCCCTGGCCATGTATCAAGCAGGGAGGGGGGACAAAAAATATAAAATACAAATTTAAATAATATTATAATAAAATTAAAAAGTAATAATATTAAAAAAATTTAAAATGTAATATTGCCGGTAAAAATAAATAATTTTTTTTTATATTAAAATAATAATAATAAAAAAATTAATAATAAAAATGCCCACCCCCCACCAAGGTTACACACACTGCAATCATACACACACACACACTGCATTCATGCACACACACAAACTGCATTCATACACACACACACACACTGCATTCATACACACACTGCATTCATACAAACACACACTGCATTCATACACACACACTGCATTCATACAAACACACACTGCATTCATACACACACACACTGCATTCATACACACACACACTGCATCATATACACACACTTCATTCATACACACACAGTGCATTATATACACACACTCTGCATTCTATACACACACATACACTGCATTCATTATATACACACACTGTAAATAAATATTCAATTAATATAATTTTTTGGAGGTCTAATTTTGTTTAGAAATTTACCAGTAGTTGCTGCATTTCCCACCCTAGTCTTATACTCAAGTCAATAAGTTTTCCCAGTTTTTTGGGGTAAAATTAGGGGTCTCGACTTATATTCGGGTCGACTTATACTCGAATAATTGATGTTATTATCTGAGAATTCAAAAGCCAAAGAAATATCACATGTGTTTAAATAATTGAAGAGATTAGCAACTATGCTATTTGTGGCTCAAATGTATTTTTACATAGCTGCTGTACTTGGGTTTACTGCTGGGACAGTGATGGCTAACCTTGACACCATAAAAGAGAGTCTGAAACCTAGCTGAGCATCATAGGAAATGTAGTCCAGAAACAACTTATGGTGTCAAGGTTAGCCATCACTGTGCAAGGATAATGCCATAAACCCCCAATCATATAATGTCCTTGTCCATGGTACTGAAAACATATTTAGTGTTTTTTTTCAGTCTGAACAGTTTCAAGTCAACTATGCAGTATACCACTTTTCTCTAAGACCGTTAAATGAACACTGCAGCGTTAGGAAGACATATCTGTATTCCTACTGCTACAGTCCTGATGTCTCTAGATAGTTTATCCCCAATCTACACCAAGAAAAAGACAAATGATTCATCTTTCCTCTAGTGTCGAGTCTCCCTCGGCACAGCCATGATCTCCTCCTCGGGTTCAGTCATTCTGCAGGCATGCATCCAGGATGACGGGCCAATCCAATGCACCTCATTGAGGAGCATTGAGGAACAAGGGCTCATGCGAGGTGCTCACCACAATGCTCCTACAATTCTCCCATAGAGAATCATTGTACTCATGTTAATGATGTTGTTAAAGTGCCTACAGTGTCCCTATAATTACTTTTTTGTTTTTGGTTTACATATACTGAAGTTGTCCCATGCAGCTAAGGATTTTTGTTCATATACATATATCTCTGGCGAGATGTGGTTTGGCAGGGTTTTTTCTTTTGTTCGTTCTCATAACTAAAGTTGTACTGAAGCTGTTACATGCTAGTGTTGTGTATGTCACATACAATATGTTGTTATTATTACATAGTATCAGAAATGACCAGATTTCTAAATCTCACTCTGGCAGAATATACAAGGTATGCACCTCCTGGAATATGAGTTACATTTTTAAATCTCAGCTTCAAACTAATATGATCAGAACAATGAGCTTGTCATGTGCTCAGAGAGAGGTGGACAAGAGAGTTGAGTAATACAGTTTCTTTGTATTTTAGAGAGCAGGTAGACATCTTTAAACTACAGTGAGTGACGTCTACTGCAGATAAAGCATATTCTAAACAATAATCTCTTTAATAATCCATCCCTGTGTTATTATTGACCTGAAACCAAGCATCAGCTGCCAGCTATTTTGAATGTCTGAGAAGGAGATGCTACATATGAAATAATGCAGCAGAGGACATTGAAGAGATGCAAGGTAAGTGGGTACCAGGAAGCAGTAGGGACATGACAGAAAGGTAAGATATGACCTTGAAACCAGAATGCAGGTAATAGTATAGTTCCTTAGAGAGGTAAAGGGCAGCTAAGTTGTCATGAGTTCTGAAGATTGATGAGTTTATTCATTAAACTGTGAAGTGTGGAGAACTGACAAGGCACATTTTAGGTCAAAATAACCAAGCTGGAAAAATAGATAAGCTGTTTTATTTTTCCGATTTAGCTGTTTTGTTAAAATTTGCTATTTATTTTTCAACGCACCACTACTCACACTTTAGTTAGTTCATAACTAAGAAATCTGTATAAACTGGAGAGCTTAATGATGCAACTAAAGCTGTATCCATAGTTGGGAACAATATGCATTTATCGCAACTTATTTCAAATAAACAAATGGTGTTATAGAGTATAGAGAGAATATAGAGTTTGAACATTTAATTCTAATTATTAGGACAACACACAACAAAACAGCTGCACAGATAAGTGAGGATTCTTCATATCCCAGTCTGAGGCACACCTCTACCTAAAAGGATTGAAACAAATTACAAGTTGTAGCGGATGGCACTGGGCTATCCTGAAACTTACATGTGTATAACTGTATTCGGGTAAATTGCTGGTTTTTATGTGTTTAAATAAAGTGTATTCGTCTGGTTGCTCGGTAGAATCATTTGAATAAACTAAGGGAATGAAACTACCGAACAATCACACCTCCCCTGTGTGAAGTGTGCCTTCAATTACCCATTGCAACAATGTTGCGAATGGGTAATTAGCAAGCTATGCAGTAGGTCCTTTGTTCTCGGGGTGGCCGCCATTCAGGAAAAGAACACGTGGCGGCCATTTTAAAACTCCCGAACACCGCTGAGACCTCCACAAGCCCGGTCCGTTCGGCCCCTCGTTCGGTAGACAGAAACAACCGAACGAGGGGATTCATGCGAACCCTACCTGATCTCTGTAGCCTTAGCATTTCGTGTAATTAATTCCCTTATACTGTGACCGACCGCAGGACCCCATCGCATGGAGCCTAATTCGGCTGTTCTCTCCAGCGCGGTCGGTCTTTTTAGTACCTCCATGAATTTCCCGAACCCCTGGTCCGATCTGGGTGATTCTTGGATATGTTGCTCACCCAGATCAGGGCTACCAGGGGATGTGCCATTTAAAGGGGTACCCCTAGGTTTAGGGGTACATCCAGAAACTGGGGGAATTTGTGTACAGTATAAGGGGATTATGAGTCAGGCTGAGGGGAGGAGATGGGTGGGAGGTTACTATTGCCGGATTGGATACTGTAGTAATTAATGAAAATCCCTCCCTTGCATGGGAGCATGCTTTATAAGGCCACTGTGAAATAAAGGTGTTTAGTTCTGCTCCTGATGCTGTGTGTCGTCCAGTTATTGGGATTGTTGTTGGGATATTGCTGGATTATTTTACCTGCTGGAATCCTTGCTTTATGGATTCATAATTACTTGTTCCTGAGCCTCACTGGGATCTTAAGCGGAGATAACTTGTGGAATACTGGATCTCCGCTACATTGGTTGGCAGCGATGGGACCCAGACTCACAAAGGAACAAGGATTGATGGAGATTGATTACTCCACATGAAAGAGATCCACACTGAAAGATCTTCTGGAAGCAAGGGGTATTTCAGCCAGCAACAAAACGAAAGCAACGCTTATTTCAGAGATAATGGCAGAATACCGAATAGAGGAGGTTTCGGTCACCGAACAGAGGGAGGCAAGAGAGGGAACAGAGCAGGAAGAGTTCCAAAGACAGCTCCAATTTAGACTGGTATTTGGGGGAGAACCCACCGATGGAAATAATCTCCAAAACAATGACGGAGGTCCAGGAATTTATAATGCGGCAAAGAGGGTCACAAACACCAGAGAGAAACACAGTGGTGTC